TGTCGTTAACCTTCTTTTCAAAATGGTTGACAAAGTCATCCACAGAGAGGGAGGAGGGAGGGGGAGGAGGAGGAGGATTCAGCAGGAAGGAGAAGGTGGCAAAGAGCTTCCTAGGGTTAGAGGCAGAGGCTTGAAATTTAGAGTGGTAGAAAGTGGCTTTAGCAGCGGAAACAGAGGAAGAGAATGTAGAGAGGAGGGAGTGAAAAGATGACAGATCCGCAGGGAGTCTAGTTTTCCTAAATTTCCGCTCGGCTGCCCGGAGCCCTCTTCTGTGAGCTCGCAATGAGTTGTCAAGCCACGGAGTGAGTAGTGTTGGAGGAGAGCGAGAGAGAAAAGGATACCTTGACTTTGTTGTCCATAAGCCATTTTGCCACAACTTTGGAAGTATGCTTGGGGTCATTGTCCATTTGGAAGACTCATTTGCGACCAAGCTTTAACTTCCTGACTGATGTCTTGAGATGTTGCTTCAATTTATCCACATAATTTTCCTTCCTCATGATGCCATCTATTTTGTGAAGTGCACCAGTCCCTCCTGCAGGAAAGCACCCCCACAGCATGATGCTGCCACCCCCGTGCTTCACAGTTGGGATGGTGTTCTTTGGCTTGCAAGCCTTCCCCTTTTTCCTCCAAACATAACGATGGTCATTATGGCCAAACAGTTATATTTTTGTTTCATCAGACCAGAGGACATTTCTCCAAAAAGTACGATCTTTGTCCCCATGTGCAGTTGCAAACCGTAGTCTGGCTTTTTTATGGCGGTTTTGGAGAAATGGCTTCTTCCTTGCTGAGCGGCCTTTCAGGTTATGTCGATATAGGACTCGTTTTACTGTGGATATAGATACTTTTGTACCTGTTTCCTCCAGCATCTTCACAAGGTCCTTTGCTGTTGTTCTGGGAATGATTTGCACATTTCGCACCAAAGTACGTTAATCTCTAGGAGACAGAACGCGTCTCCTTCCTGAGCAGTATGAAGGCTGCGTGGTCCCATGGTGTTTATACTTGCATACTATTGTTTGTACAGGAGTTTGGAAATTGCTCCCAAGGATGAACCAGACTTTTGGAGGTCTACAATTTATTTACTGAGGTCTTGGCTGATTTCTTTTGATTTTCCCATGATGTCAAGCAAAGAGGCACTGAGTTTGAAGGTAGGCCTTGAAATACATCCACAGGTACATCTCCAATTGACTCAAATGATGTCAATTAGCCTATCAGAAGCTTCTAAAGCCATGACATCATTTTCTGGAATTTTCCAAGCTGTTTAAAGGCACAGTGAATTATAAGTGAAAAATCTGTCTGTAAACAATTGTTGGAAAAATGACTTGTGTCATGCATAAAGTAGATGTCCTAACTGACTTGCCAAAATTATAGTTTGTTAACAAGAAATTTGTGGAGTGGTTGAAAAACGAGGTTTAATGACTCCAACCTAAGTGTATGTAAACTTCTGACTTCAACTGTACTTTATTGAGGAAAAAAGTACTTGCTATGTGATATGAGGTTGTCCTACCTAGCTATGAATGCACTAAATTAATGCACTATCTGTAAGCGTCTGCTAAATGACTAAAATGTAAATGTCAAATATCAAAATCAAATGATTTATGGGAAATTCTAAACAGTTATTCCTAATATTATACAAATTGGTTATTACATTAATCAATACACTTGCATGGCTGATGAAAATACCACAGAAACACATGTAATGTTCAGTTGAAAGGGTGCTATATGTCAGTAGCAATCTTGAAGCCATCCTATGGACATTATTTAAAAGAAAGGTAAAATATGTTTTATTGTGACATACACTGGATAGGTGCAGTGAAATGTGTTGTTTTACAGGGTCAGCCATAGAAGTACGGCGCCCCTGGAGCAAATTAGGGCTAAGTTCTTTGCTCAAGGGCACATCGACAGATTTTTCACCTTGTCGGCTCGGGTATTCAAACCAGCGACCTTTCGGTTACTGGCACAATGCTCTAACTGCTAGGCTACCTGCTGCCTAAGACGTTGATGGGGATAGGAAGTGACGTATCATGTCACTCCAGTGGAATCCTCCAGAGGCCTGAGAAACACAGGTCAAGCGTAGGTGTCCTGTCCATCTGACACCAAGCGAAGAGGTAAACACTAGTGCAACACTCATTTGCAACATCCCTAGAGAGTTAGGAAAACAATCATTAGCTGTGTGTTCCAGTTGATATTTTACATTTTATTGAATGAGTAGCAATACCATGTAGTTACTTAGTGCAGAAGGCATTCGTTTTTTTATGTATAACATAAGCCCACAGTAAAAATATAAATGAGATCATAATGAATGAGGAGTTAGGAATGAAATTATGTAATCTAATCAAGATTCTTCTCATTATTTTAAAAGTAGTATAGGCTAAGGGAAATTATTAGATTTGGTAAGGGACATTTCTGACTAATCATATATCGATTTAGTTGAATCAAGCAACAACAAAAAAAGCATGTTAAAGGGTCATTGAAGGGTCATCGCAGGGTCAGGGTGTAAACTGTACACAGCACTGTCAAGTGTGACATACCATAAGACAGTTTGACAAGCATCTCTCGTGGCTTGAGTGTATCCACTGTATAAATAGCTTTAGAGCAGGTGTAAGAACACTAACAGGATAGTGAGTGTCCTGTCGGTGACAGTCAACCCGTCTCAGGTGACATTGAGTGACAGAGTTAAAGGTAAAAACAAATGTAGGCGAGCATGTCAAACGACAACAACATTTTATTATTTTCATGTTTCTCAGTCAAAATAGGCAGGCTCTTTTTGAACAGAACAACACATTGGCGTGATTTACAGAGAAGAGCAAAGCGTTATGCAGAAAAATAACATTGTGTACAAAAATACAACTTCACTGTACTAAGCAAACACTGCACTTACAAAGCAAAGTAATGGAAAACTTGGCGGAACCAAATCTTCCATAAGCAGGATGGCACTTTGAACAGAGACAGAAATCCAATACAGTAATCTTCTATCCTTGAATTGTACTTAGAAAACATGCAGGAATGCATTTCAGTTGAAAACATGTATCTATTCATGTACTGTATGGGTGTCATTCATGTGTAACAGATTTGAAGAATTTCAAACAGTGTATGGATCTGATCTGAATATGGCCTTTTGTTCTGTTTATCTTTGGTAGTATATTATATTGAGGTAAAATGGGTCAGTGGTTTAGGTGAAAACTGGAGGAATTATGTCAATATAATAAAAAGTCACTATAGATTTCTGAAATTAAAAATACAAAATACTGTTCAGAAAAGGTTCACAATATCAGGACCTTCTTATAGTTAGTCTTATATGCACATCATGTGCAAGACCAAATAGCCTCTACAGATATCTAGAGGCAGGACACAGAGCTTATTCTTGTCTCTGAATAACCCAGTCATGCAAATTGATTAGACTGATTCTCAAGATGGATCTTCAATTCCAGCTCAATAGTAATTTCACATTTGGACTTGAGTTGTAATTGGTTAATGTATGCATGTATGAGTGATGTATTGTAAACATGCTCAATGGCAAACAGCTAAAAAAGACTGAACAAATCAATGACCTAAGGAGGTCAAAACCTGCTCTGGAGTCTCGACTGTGCTAATTGTACTACATTTAAATTACATTTTAGTCATTTAGCAGACGCTCTTATCCAGAGCGACTTACAGTTAGTGAGTGCATAAATTTTTTCATACTGGTCCCCCGTGGGAATCGAACCCACAACCCTGGCGTTGCAAGCGCCATGCTCTACCAACTAAGCTACACGGGACTACTACATGGTGTACTCAATTCTATTCTTTGAAAGGTTTTTGTATAATAATAGTTATTGTTTAAACCTTTGAGCAAGATTATATCTTAAAAATACCTGAGTACCTGCCCTTGAAAAACAGGACTCCCTGACCACAAAAGGTTGATTTCAGGTTGATATGATTTCATATAGTGTGAGAGAAAGGCAGTAGTTGAACCCTGACAAAGTGTTTTACTTTCAAAATGACCAACACAGTACAATTCCACAGGTTCAAAAATAGATCTTGGTTATCCATGCAACTCAAGATGTGCACAGCACAATTAGAAGAAATTGTCTGGATATCCCGTGCAATATAGAAAAAGTGTATATGTCATGTGACATGTGTCATGCATTTGTTACCAATTAATATTCCTTAATTGTTCTATGATCCTTAATATAAATAGTTTATATGATCCAGCTGCAAGACATTTGAGCATCAACCTGTCAAACATGTTTAGTGGGAAACCTAACAAAGCCTTTAAGATTCTTAAATCCATTCTCTGATAAAGTCAACATTGAAGAGAAAGTCAGTGCCCGAAGAATTGCGAAGCAAATAACCTGAAACTTTACCTTAGACCAAACACTTATACTATACGTCAACTCAATGTCATCACTGTCCTTATGCACCCTGAAAGATATGTTCACCCCATAAACAGTAATCCAAAGTCCATCATGCATTGGGGTGTTCAAATGCAAACACATTAAAAACATTGATGCAGCATAAATCAATACCTTCTCATACAAATGACTTTCAATGATTGACAGAAATGTGTCGCACATGGCACGTTGCACAAGACCTCTCTAAAAATGACATTTCGAAAAAACATGCCATCGTAACGGTATAAAGTTGTAATCTGGGAAGGTAAAAAACTGTTCCAGTGGGACAATGCCACTACGTTGGCATTGTGGAGTGGCACCACATCATGAACCAAAGCCTCTGTTCCTCACTCTAATTAAGTAAGGGGGGCACTGACATTTCCATGGCAGCTGTAGCATGCACAGCTACAGTATGCTATTGAATGGAGCTAGGCTAAGAAATTTGAATCCTAGCATCATAACGTAGTGACCCAAATGGAGCTAGGCTAACAAATTAGCATCCTAGCATCAAACCTAGCGACCCAAATGGAGCTAGGCTAACAAATTAGCATCCTAGCATCAAACCTAGCGACCTCCATGGGTAAGAGGGCTTGTTTCTCTGGAGAAGAGGCCGAAGGCTAAGTCTCTCTCTCAGTCTTTGCTCTCGCTGCATGTTCGTCGGATCACAGAGGAGAAGAAGCTGTTGCCTTGTGGGGGACCCATCAACATCGGGGCCTGGTTCTTATGCACTATTTCAATCTGGTGTGGACAGAGAGTGAGGGAAACAGGATAGAGTTACATGGTGGTATGGTATGGTATGGTATGGTTGGCTAAATGCTTTCAAAACATGGAGCACACACATTTTTATGGACCCACTGAACATACACTGTACAGCAAGGGAGGTCATGGTCTATGTGTAATAATGTAACCATGCCATTCCAATAAGCGACCACAGAGAAAAGCTTGATGCTTGAATTCTATGAGTATTAGATGCTATTAGTATTTCAGAATAAAAAAAAAGTGAAACTACCACAGATCAACCATCAAGGTATGCCCTGACCTGTATGTAGCTCATTATACTATAGCCCTCGTTGTACAAACAAGCATAATGAGCAAGGTAAATGGAATCATCAGCATAAAAGAAACCCTTTTACTTCAAAGAGAAGCATGCCATTCATCGTTCCTGAACTCTAACACTGTAGTGGACGTTATTGTGCATGGGCTTGATGTCCAAATTATATTCAACATGATTGAACTTAATGTTACTGGAGTATCACTTAATTGACAAATTAACCTTTCCATGGGAATTGAGGTCAAAAAAAGGTTCAGCACAAAAGAAGGACTTGAAAGAGAAGCTGAACATGTTTGAAAGCTTAAAGGGCTAAAATAGTTTGTATTTTATGGTAAAGGGGAAATATTTAGTTGAAACCCCAATAAAGCGGCTACCCCGCCACTGTTTTGGTAAATAGCTGAGGGATGGGGCTGGAGAATGTAACCACTCTGAAATTCATCAAAACTGGGTTTGACCATCCATTAGATCAAAATATATTTTTAACCATGTTTTAAAGCTACACAGTCAGTGTTTGTTTACAATTGCATGGTTTACAAACAATGGAGTAAAACAAATGTATATTTGGGGTTGAACTAAGATAATTAAGGAATTTATAAGTTATACCCTTCAAGAATCAATGACTATATATAATTAATTTAAACAAATATATGCCCCTTTAATGGTTATGCCAGTGTACAATAGAGATGTAGTAATACATGTTATAAGTGCAAATTAATGGGGTTAATTATCTTATGCATGCAAAACATGATTTGCATAACCGTTCTTGTTAATAATTAGTTGGATAACATCCCATTTTAATTGTACTGTTTTTGTGAACATTTAACAGGTTGACTGTAACTCACCATGGAAATCCCCCAACACACAATTATGTATTGTCAGAGCCTAACTTTGATTTGTGGAGTTTTGCCAACAGACACAAGTGCACTTATAAACTACTTGTTTTGTCATGCACTAGATTCTCCTACATTGACTGAAAGATCTGTATGTAAATTCTGTCTCCACTTCATCTGTGATGCTGTCAGAGAAGTCACAATGTAATTAAAAGCAAACACTGGTTTAATCAGCACAAATTTAAAACAGAATAAACACTTGTACTTGTGTATGGGAGTTGTATGAGGGACCAGGTGAATACATTAAAAGAAAAGGTTTGTATTATTACATATCAGTTATGATAAATTACAAATATGTATAAAACAATGCAACTTCACTCTCAAGAACTTTAAAGCATTAATATCTGTTGGAGCATAGAGTGCAGCAGATGATGACCTTTCTATATGAACCACCTGTGTGTAGCACATTGTACATTAATTAATACCACAATAAATGGAACATTGACATGACTTACAGTACAGGGAGTCTGCATCCAGGGCTCTCCATCAATCTGCATGGGGAGGGCTTTGGTAGTCCTGACAACGACAAACAAAAATCCCTCTTGAAACATTATTCTTGACGTCTGTAATGTCTTCCATCTAGATTGTTTCTATGTTGTTAAAAAGTCAGAAGGTTGAATGGATGGGATAAAACATTCCCCCTCAGGAGACTGAAAAGATTTGGCATGGGTCCTCAGATCCTCAAAAAATTATACAGCTGCACCATCGAGAGCATCCTGACTGGTTGCATCACCGCCTGGTATGGCAACTGCTTGGCCTCCGACCGCAAGGCACTACAGAGGGTAGTGCGTACGGCCCAGTACATCACTGGGGCCAAGCTTCCTGCCATCCAGGACCTCTATACCAGGCGGTGTCAGAGGAAGGCCCTCAAAATTGTCAAAGACTCCAGCCACCCTAGTCATAGACTGTTCTCTCTGCTACCGCAAGTCTAGGTCCAAAATACTTCTCAACAGCTTCTACCCCCAAGCCATAAGACTCCTGAACAGCTAATCATGGCTACCCGGACTATTTGCACTGCCCCCCCACCCCATCCTTTTTACGCTGCTGCTACTCTGTTAATTATTTATGCATAGTCACTTTAACTCTACCCACATGTACATATTACTTCAACTACCTCAACTAGCCGGTGCCCCCTCAGACAGTGATCAGTGGTTGTGGTCAAGGGGTACTGACCTGATGGTGACTGAGGAGCACTGGGCCAGGCGTCTTCCTGCACTCCTCAGGCCGATATGGATCTGTCCCATCTCCATGGCTCCCTCCAGACCCACCACCTCCAACAGCTGGTCTGACGGGTCTACAGACACAGAGCCATAAACACACCTACACATAGAACTCAGACCATCTCTCGAACATCCTGTGGACCTGAACTGAGCATTACAGTTTGAATCGATCCTAAATCAAGCCATTGGTTAACTCTGGAATCCATTCACCTTGAGTAAGAAGAAGAAGAAGAAGAAGAAGAAGAAGAAGAAGAAGAAGAAGAAGAAGAAGAAGAAGAAGAAGAAGAAGAAGAAGAAGAAGAAGAAGAAGAAGAAGAAGAAGAAGAAAGATGCTGAGAACAGGAGGGATAAAAGAGGCGAAAAGGAGGTGTGCCTCATTTTCAAGGTGCACAGTTTGCCTTCCGCTCTCCAAAGCCTGAATATTCACTGTTGAAAGGAAAAAAAGAAGCAACAAGAACAACAACCAGCAGCCATAAACAAAACACCTATTAATTAGATTGCGCTGGCAATGCAAGCAATCTTGTCTTCCTATAATTATTAATTTATTTTCTGTTTTGAAGTTATGAGCATTGATTTTGCCCCTGCTGGAAGCCCAGTGTCGCGCTGAGCCCATCTGTTTCAGCAGGCCTGTTATTCCTCCTACTCTCAGACTACTCGCCCCTCCGCAAATTAAGCCCTGTTGGGAGTGCAGAGAGACACTAATTGAAACTAAGACCCATTTTAGGGCCTTGGTGGGTATGGTAGAACAAACTAGCATGCTGTCATTGTCGTGCTAAGTTGCTAATGCTAGGTTGCTGCTGCTAGGGCCAGGTTCATGTTAAGGACTTCTAAGATGTTTGAGTGTTGCCTTAGATTACCATAGTTACCATACAGTGAGGGAAAAAAGTATTTGATCCCCTGCTGATTTTGTACGTTTGCCCAATGACAAAGAAATGATCAGTCTATAATTTTAATGATAGGTTTATTTGAACAGTGAGAGACAGAATAACAACAACAAAATCCAGAAAAACACATGTCAAAAATGTTATACATTTATTTGCATTTTAATGAGGGAAATAAGTATTTGACCCCCTCTCAATCAGAAAGATGTCTGGCTCCCAGGTGTCTTTTATACAGGTAACGAGCTGAGATTAGGAGCACACTCTTAAAGGGAGTGCTCCTAATCTCAGTTTGTTACCTGTATAAAAGACACCTGTCCACAGAAGCAATCAATCAATCAGATTCCAAACTCTCCACCATGGCCAAGACCAAAGAGCTCTCCAAGGATGTCAGGGACAAGATTGTAGACCTACACAAGGCTGGAATGGGCTACAAGACCATCGCCAAGCAGCTTGGTGAGAAGGTGACAACAGTTGATGCGATTATTCCCAAATGGAAGAAACACAAAAGAACTGTCAATCTCCCTCGGCCTGGGGCTCCATGCAAGATCTCACCTCGTGGAGTTGCAATGATCATGAGAACGGTGAGGAATCAGCCCAGAACTACACGGGAGGATCTTGTCAATGATCTCAAGGCAGCTGGGACCATAGTCACCAAGAAAACAATTGGTAACACACTACGCCGTGAAGGACTGAAATCCTGCAGCGCCCGCAAGGTCCCCCTGCTCAAGAAAGCACATACACAGGCCCGTCTGAAGTTTGCCAATGAACATCTGAATGATTCAGAGGAGAACTGGGTGAAAGTGTTGTGGTCAGATGAGACCAAAATCGAGCTCTTTGGCATCAACTCAACTCGCCGTGTTTGGAGGAGGAGGAATGCTGCCTATGACCCCAAGAACACCATCCCCACCGTCAAACATGGAGGTGGAAACATTATGCTTTGGGGGTGTTTTTCTGCTAAGGGGACAGGACAACTTCACCGCATCAAAGGGACGATGGACGGGGCCATGTACCGTCAAATCTTGGGTGAGAACCTCCTTCCCTCAGCCAGGGCATTGAAAATGTGTCGTGGATGGGTATTCCAGCATGACAATGACCCAAAACACACAGCCAAGGCAACAAAGGAGTGGCTCAAGAAGAAGCACATTAAGGTCCTGGAGTGGCCTAGCCAGTCTCCAGACCTTAATCCCATAGAACATCTGTGGAGGGAGCTGAAGGTTCGAGTTGCCAAACGTCAGCCTCGAAACCTTAATGACTTGGAGAAGATCTGCAAAGAGGAGGGGGACAAAATCCCTCCTGAGATGTTTGCAAACCTGGTGGCCAACTACAAGAAACGTCTGACCTCTGTGATTGCCAACAAGGGTTTTGCCACCAAGTACTAAGTCATGTTTTGCAGAGGGGTCAAATACTTATTTCCCTCATTAAAATGCAAATCAATTTATAACATTTTTGACATGCGTTTTTCTGTTTTTTTGTTGTTGTTATTCTGTCTCTCACTGTTCAAATAAACCTACCATTAAAATTATAGACTGATCATGTCTTTGTCAGTGGGCAAACGTACAAAATCAGCAGGGGATCAAATACCTTTTTCCCTCACTGTAGATACAGTATATAAATCAACCATAGTTGTATTTCTATGGATGTTTCTGTTGAGGGGTAGTGTCCAGCTGTCACTATAGCAACAGGCTGGGTCCACACCCTCTGTGTTAAATTGCGAATGGAGAGCTTGCCCTGGCATGAGAGCTAAAAAGAGAGTTTGTGTGCGTTCGCACATGCGTGCTTGTGTGTGAATACATGTGTGTTCACACCTGTGTGTGTATGTGTGTGTTTATGCCTGCATGCCTGTGTGTGTGTGTGTGTGTGTGTGTGTGTGTGTGTGTGTGTGTGTGTATGCATGTGTGTTTGCACGTGCGTGGCTGTGAGTGTGTGTGTATGCCTCCGTGCCTGTGCATGTACACAGTGTGCTAACCACCTGACACTGGGCCCTCCCTCCCAGCATGCCTTCTCACGTTAGCGCTGCTGGCTTACGCAGCCCCTGGCTGACACGTATGATGGACAGCGTCACTACGGCGATGGATAAACGTGTGGAGATTCCTGGTTGCCCGGGGCTACACACAGGTCATATAGTATACCCCAGAGTGCTTACTGTGGGAAAGGCCAGGAGCGTGATCTGCTCTCAGCAACCAAGGTCAGGGCAGGGAGATCATCAATGGACATTTATGAATTTGCCTATGTTTGAAAATAACAAATGATGGGTATATGATTATCATAAACAGTGGTGGTTGTATTAGTATTTTCATGAGGCTACTTCAGTTGTTTAACCTCTAAAAGCATAAGCCGTTGGGGGGAGGGGTGGGGGACTAAGCTAACATATGAAATTATTTTAAGATGGTCATACCATGGATCATTTAGCTATTTCATTTTGAATTTTAGGACCCCTTTAGGTATCCCCCAAAAATAAAACGTGTACTATTTTTGGCCTTTACTACTATTGCCCATAGAAACACATTGAATAACACATTCATTAATAGAAAAATACACAGTAAAAAAGATTTAACCCCGTATTTTTGGGGGCACAAAACTACCTCCATACTTCCATTCGTTTGTATGGGTTACCTTCAGACAAGCCCCGTGACACTTGTGGGTCGTAGATATCTCTAGCTTAAACTGACAGATTTTGATGGGGATTTTTTTACTATGTTACTTAGATTGACGCACAGGTGCGTCAATAGACTCTTAAGGATTAATGAATGCGTGTATAATACAATCTGACTGTTACAACCAGTGCAGTGCCTGTTTAATAATAGTGATGGATGCCTGGTTTGTAGTCTATAGTCATGGAAGAAAGAACAGACTCCAGTTTTCCCAGATTTGATTTGATTTGAAAAGGAAATCATGTGAGCTCAGAGGCACTAGTTGCACATGTCAGACGAGAGAGAGATTAAAGATATATTTTCTTTCTTATTTTCAAGTGATAAAAAAAAGAAAAGGTCAACACTAGTGACACCAGCACTTCCGGACAGGTTTCTCTAACTCAGAGCCATGTAAATATATGGGTCTGCTCTCACTAATCTGTCTACATCATTCTGGTCAAGTGTTATTGGTTGAGAGTTGGTGATAGCGAAGAGGTTTTCTAACATATCATCAAGTGCTGTACTCTGAGAGAAGACCCACATTCACTCATCATGCAGTGTTTAAATGGGTAAAAGGTGGAGGGTGAAGTGGAAACATAGATCTAGCAAAAATAACAACTTGTTAGTGCTTTTTGAGGTCGGTTCTGTTTCGGTTCGATTACTACAAAATAATCATGGATTTCGATTATTATAATAATTTTTTACATTAAATTAATTATGAAATAATGACATTTAAATGATTTTAGAGCTTTTTAATGGAAATTGCAAAGCCAAAAATAGTGATCATTTAATCGCCAAAACATTGAAAATATTCCATTGTCTCTGTCAGGTCCACACTGGGTAGACATCAACAGAAACATAGGAAATTACTATGAAATAATACAATATTTCAGTTGTGTATATTACTTAGTTTTTATTTGATGGCTTTATTATTTTTCATTCCTTAAAGTCATCATCTCATCTCTGCTTAGACAGTAGCAGCCATACTGTACTGTCTGTAGTCATCCTATTTATCTAGGCTAGCCTGCCTAAGTATCCTGCAGAGCTGTCTGACGAAATCATTTTACTAGTTCTTCAAAGTAGATAAGGCATACTTTCACAAGCTGTCTCTATCTCTCTCACTCGTAGTTGTGTTGTGTACATTCCTCTCTCATGTGGTCTATGCGGTCTCTGTGTATCTAATCTAATGTAGCAGGCGTAAAAGTGTATCCATCTCTGTCTGAGCCGGAAAGAACAGGTGCAATAGGTTATGGTCATTATAGTTAATTACCACGTTGCTGCTCTGAACTAGGTTGAATATTTGCTTACTGAAAACTACAACTCCCTTCAGCCCAGCATCCCACATAGCTCTTGACTTGATTTCTCTCATTAATAATTTGATTTTGCTCTAGAAAAATGGCGCATTGTGATCGCTTAGCACTACAACTTGTCCTCTTCATACATCAACCCCACTTATCTTAGATAAATGGAAAATACAGAGTCATACAAGTAATAGGAATTTAGTTTTACACTCATAGTGGTTTCAAAATAATTTGTTTAGAAGAGGGGACCAAATAAAGACCAAATCATTCCTGTTCACACATCAACATCACTTATCTCAGATAGAAGACAAGACCGAGTCACAGAGATGTTGCAGTTGCTTACGCACACAGCCAAGTCCTGCATTAAGCAGCCCACGCCTCATAATCGAGTTGTCACAGTGCAAGATTAGTCCCAGCATCCTTGTCATTGTCAAATACCTGTCCAGGGCAGTCTCTACAACACTGACAACATGCAGAGTGACAGAGAGGGAGTGGGTGAACAACGTTGAGACCACCTTTGGAATCTCCGTGGTACATGTCTCAGGGCATCAATCCCCCACACCCACCCTCCACGCCCCCTCACCCTCCCCCTGTTACCTCTCCCTTCTGCCCCCGTTCTAAATAATTCACCCATAGCCATTCCCTTCCACCTGAGGGGCTTGTCTCCTGGCGTCAACAGCGGGACGACTTAACAGCTCCAGAAAGGTCAGTCGTTTTTTCCCAGTTTGATCCGCACTTTGCGCTCCGTGCTCTGGGTATGCGTACAGCCACCAGCCCCCACGGCCCCCAGCCCCAGGGCCCCCCAGGCTAATGCACTCTGTGTTTATGGGCCCCTCTAATACGCCATTCTCTGATCTGACAAGTTGGGCCTCTCACCTTGAACATACCTTCAGCAAGGGCAACCAGCAACCAGCACTCACTCACTGGCCACTAAGTGCCTTTTCAGGTTCAGGCTGAGGGTTAGGATAAAAAAAAAATCCTTTACACCAAATCAAATGATTTTTGAGTGAATTAATGGAAGGGAGTGACTACTGTAGTGTATCGATGCTGTGTGAATTGATCATCTCCGACCACCACTACCATCTTAAGCCCTCTTGCCAAAGCCGTCATTTACAGTGAGGGACAAAAGTGTTTGATCCCCTGCTGATTTTGTACGTTTTCCCACTGACAAAATGATCAGTCTATAATATTAATGGTAGGTTTATTTGAACAGTGAGAGACAGAATAACAACAACAAAAATCCAGAAAAACACATGTCAAAAATGTTATAAATTGATTTGCATTTTAATGAGGGAAATAAGTATTTGACCCCTCTGCAAAACATGACTTAGTACTTGGTGGCAAAACCCTTGTTGGCAATCACAGAGGTCAGACGTTTCTTGTAGTTGGCCACCAGGTTTGCACACATCTCAGGAGGGATTTTGTCCCACTCCTCTTTGCAGATCTTCTCCAATTCATTAAGGTTTCGAGGCTGACGTTTGGCAACTCAAACCTTCAGCTCCCTCCACTGATTTTCTATGGGATTAAGGTCTGGAGACTGGCTAGGCCACTCCAGGACCTTAATGAGCTTCTTCTTGAGCCACTCCTTTGTTGCCTTGGCTGTGTGTTTTGGGTCATTGTCATGCTGGAATACCCATCCACGACCCATTTTCAATGCCCTGGCTGAGGGAAGGAGGTTCTCACCCAAGATTTGACGGTACATGGCCCCGTCCATCATCCCTTTGATGCGGTGAAGTTGTCCTGTCCCCTTAGCAGAAAAACACCCCCAAAGCATAATGTTTCCACCTCCATGTTTGACGGTGGGGATGGTGTTCTTGGGGTCATAGGCAGCATTCCTCCTCCTCCAAACATGGCGAGTTGAGTTGATGCCAAAGAGCTCCATTTTGGTCTCATCTGACCACAACACTTTCACCCAGTTCTCCTCTGAATCATTCAGATGTTAATTGGCAAACTTCAGACGGGCATGTATATGTGCTTTCTTGAGCAGGGGGACCTTGCGGGCACTGCAGGATTTCAGTCCTTCACGGCGTAGTGTGTTACCAATTGTTTTCTTGGTGACTATGGTCCCAGCTGCCATGAGATCATTGACAAGATCATCCCGTGTAGTTCTGGGCTGATTCCTCACCGTTCTCATGATCATTGCAACTCCACGAGGTGAGATCTTGCATGGAGCCCCAGGCCGAGGGAGATTGACAGTTCTTTTGTGTTTCTTCCATTTGCGAATAATCACACCAACTGTTGTCACCTTCTCACCAAGCTGCTTGGCGATGGTCTTGTAGCCCATTCCAGCCTTGTGTAGGTCTACAATCTTGTCCCTGACATCCTTGGAGAGCTCTTTGGTCTTGGCCATGGTGGAGAGTTTGGAATCTGATTGATTGATTGCTTCTGTGGACAGGTGTCTTTTATACAGGTAACAAGCTGAGATTAGGAGCACTCCCTTTAAGAGTGTACTCCTAATCTCAGCTCGTTACCTGTATAAAAGACACCTGGGAGCCAGAAATCTTTCTGATTGAGAGGGGGTCAAATACTTATTTCCCTCATTAAAATGCAAATCAATTTATAACATTTTTGACATGCGATTTTCTTGATTTTTTTGTTGTTATTCTGTCTCTCACTGTTCAAATAAACCTACCATTAAAATTATAGACTGATCATTTCTTTGTCAGTGGGCAAACGTACAAAATCAGCAGGGGATCAAATACTTTTTTCCCTCACTGTATAAGGCTCTGCCAATTGCCTTTCTCCCAGCCTATAAGAGTAGAACTCCATGAAATGGATGATGCCTTAGGATATTAGAAAGAACATGCATGATCCAAATGGGTGCATTCATCAGTCCTTGACTCATATTGACTGAAATTAAAGAGCAGGGGGAATCTCTTCAATACTCCACTGTTGGCGAAGCACACAGGCAGATAATGGATTTGGTACATTGATTTTAACTGAGAAGGATATATATATATAATCAATGGGTTGCCTATTATAAAGTGCAGTGTACATCGCAGTGGTACTAATTCATGAAAACATCCTTGGTATAATTTTACATTTGACTGTAAAAAATTGTCACATGCCCAGTCTTGTGTGATTTGACTTTAACTATACACTGTATGAATCTGATTTGGTTGATCTATGATCTAATCAAGCCTGGACATAACACACCAGCAAAATACTACCACATACTACAGATGTAGAATCTTAATTTGATCACTCTTTTGTTGCTGAGAATCTTCCTGTGGCGAAGGAAATGCAGATTAGCTTAGTGATGTACATACTTTCGCTGAAAACATTAACATTATTGCACTTTTCATGTGGCCTACTTTTGTCCAGCTAACAGCCTAAACACCAATCAAGCAACATTATGGACTAAATGTTCAAATCCTGTTGCTATTATTTCGCTACAACAATACTGGTCAAATTAAGATCCTGTATCTGTACAATGCCCTTGTAATAAAATACTGTACACCTTTCAATACAAATACTCCCCTAACACCTTGCTCACACCTACAGCGTCATTGCGCAAAATGGTATGCAGCATCATCTGGATATGCGTGCAACAAAAGTTTAACATTCACCTTCTGCTACCATTTCTGTCAAGCGGTCTACGCATACAGTTTGATGCATACGTTTGATTAATCCAACGTATGCACCTCACAGAACGCACTGCAACTGCCTCTGCAACGCAATGCTGCGACGCAATGACGGTGTGATCGAGGCGCAAGGAGTAACCCTAGTCCACTGTGAATTACACTCCCCTACATTATGCTGCTCCATGTGAGGACAACCCTCTACATAATATTGTATAAGAAGTTGATAAATGCTTGTTTACAGTAACTTAACTAGTGACTAAGGTGATCATCCACAAACTAGACATGAGTAGACAGTTTACCAGTTTACCGTCTGACGTTAACTCCTCCTAAACAATCATCTGTGTTAATTCATAGATTCTCATTGATGGGCTCCCTTCTGACATATTTATGTATTCAGTGCCCACAACGGCAGCAGAATTCACACTGAGCTCCCACAGTCTGCTCCTATTAGGCTAGGTTGTCCACTGCCGCCTACACAAGCCATTACCAGTCTAGTGACAGTGCGAATCAGTGACATTAAACCGTACCCCTTCATCCCAAACCAAATCTAAGCACTGTGATTTAACTTGTCATTGGTGAAATATTCATACCAGTGCCATGGAAAACTTGTCCCAAAGTTTGTCTCTGATCTGTCTAATGTGAGCTTGGACAAGGTCTTGCCTCTTAGTGTCACAGATTATTAGGAGAAAGGGTCTTCTATGCTCAAAAATCTATACACAAAATGGCAGCCGATCAGCCATGGAGTTGTAGCATTTCAAGCCTGGTGTTACCCTGTGTATGCTTGGTTGTAGTACTGATCTGTAAGAGGCATACCTGAATATGACCAAGCCTTTGACATTTTAAAAGACCTTAAAGGACCTATGTAAAATACTCCATGTAAAAGAAATTGACAATGTGAACAATGTTTCCTCAAAGTTGGAATTGCAATAAATACATTTTAATTTCACCAGTATCCATCATTACAATAGCTACCTTGGACAGCAAATTGAAGCTCTTTGGGGTCCAGCACTGTTGTCCTCTTATCCTGGGTCTTCTTCCCTCCCCGGCGGTTGCTCCGCCTTTTCCTGCTCTCACCCCACAGGTTGGAGCCGCCATGCATGCTGGGAATGTTTAAAATTGCGATACCTTCCAAAGAGATGCTGTCTAGGTCCAGAGTGATGCCATCGCACTTTACAAAGGACAAGGGTCAGGAAAGAAAGCAAGAGAGAGGGAAGAGGGAGGGAGCAAGAGAGAGAGTGATTACATTTACGTCATTTAGCAGACGCTCTTATCCAGAGCGACTTACAAATTGGTGCATTCAATTTATGATAGCCAGTGGGACAACCACTTTTTATTTTATTATATTTTATTATATATATATGGGGGGGGGGGGGGGGGGGGGTAGAAGGATTAATTTTATACTATTCCAGGTATTCCTTAAAGAGGTAGGGTTTCAAGTGTCTCCGGAAGGTGGTCAGTGACTCCGCTGTCCTGGCGTCGTGGGGGAGCTTGTTCCACCATTGGGGTGCCAGAGCAGCGAATAGCTTTGACTGGGCTGAGCGGGAACTGTGCTTCCGCAGAGGTAGGGGGGCTAGCAGGCCAGAGGTGGATGAACGTAGTGCCCTCGTTTGGGTGTAAGGTCTGATCAGAGCCTGAAGGTAAGGAGGTGCCGTTCCACTCACAGCTCCGTAGGCAAGCACCATGGTCTTGTAGTAGATGCAAGCCTCAACTGGAAGCCAGTGGAGTGTGCGGAGGAGCGGGGTGACATGAGAGAACTTGGGAAGGTTGAACACCAGACGGGCTGCAGCGTTCTGGATAAATTGTAGGGGTTTAATGGCACAGGCAGGGAGCCCAGCCAACAGCAAGTTGCAGTAATCCAGACGGGAGATGACAAGTGCCTGGATTAGGACCTGTGCCGCTTTCTGTGTAAGGTAGGGTCGTACTCTGCAAATGTTGTAGAGCATGAACCTGCAGGATCGGGTCACCGCTTTCATGTTAGCGGAGAACGACAGGGTGTTGTCCAGGGTCACGCCAAGGTTCTTTGCACTCTGGGAGGAGGACACAATGGAGTTGTCAACTGTGATGGCGAGATCATGGAGCGGGCAGTCCTTCCCCGGGAGGAAGAACAGCTCCGTCTTGCCGAGGTTCAGCTTGAGGTGGTGATCCGACATCCACATTGATATGTCTGCCAGACATCAAATCAATAATCAAAGTGTCTCTCTTGAAACATTTCTTTAGTACTTCAAGGTCTCAGAGCGAGTGACGTCGCCGATTGAAATGCTACTAGCGCGTACCGCTAACTAGCTAGCCATTTCACACCGGTTACACTTGAGCCAAAGCATCTCAGTTAGGTGTTTTCAAAACTTTACATGCTCATCTGACAGCGTTCACTGCTGAGTGATGATTTACCATCTATGTCGAAGCCATTTGATCTTTGGCAAGCTGGAAATGTCCACCAGAAGGGGCCCTGCCACCAGCCATGACTTCTAACAACCTTATACTAGTACGGCATCCATATTAGGAATTCCCTCAGTTGCCAGCTGTATAATAACAGGCCACTTCTCTGTCCTCTCTCAGTGTATTTTAATACAGAGCCTGTATTCCACACTATACATGCTCCCCTTCAGTACCGTACTGTCCACAGCTAATTAATGAAGACCTCTGCCACCGCTGATGGCTCTGAGGAGGGGGAGATGGATCGGATAGACACCACCTTCATTATCCCTCAATATCACACACAGCAGGGTCGTGCCGGGATAATTACCTGTGTGTTGGGCTGAGGATCAGTTAGGGGAGTGGGAGGGGGAGAGGGGAGGCCTCCCTCCCTCCTCAACACTTCCAGAGTGAAATTGGTACAAATGGAAGGCTATTTGTGGATCAGGAGGTGGCTGGTGCTCAGTGTCTTAAAATGGTGTGCACTAAATTAGAGGCATTATTCTCTCTCCCAGGGAGATTGTACATAGGTGTTTTACTTTTTGCTTTTTGTTCTCACTGCACTGATGTGATGATTGTGTCTGCTTTCAAAGACTTCATTTTTCATGTTAACAGTAGGTGTTATTGTTGCAGAGAACAGTACAAGTGAGAATAGTTTGTTATATTATTACTTATTTATTACACAGTAGTGCAATTAAATGGTGACAAGTCATAGCATTAAATAGCATACAAATACTTAGTCCCAATCTCCCAAAATTGAAAGCAGGCAGTTGTATTTACCTCAACCTCCAGAAAGTCGTGGAGCTTCTTGCATGTGGCCGAGAAGGTCTCAGAAGTGCCAAACTCAAAGTACCACAGCTTATTCTTTGTTCTGAAAAACAAAACAACAAGAAGTGTAAGGGGACTAGGAGGAAACAAAAATCTATCTCTCCCCACATCAAAATCTACTGCCATACAGTGAGCAATACAAAAAGTGGACAAAAAGTGGATAAAAAGTGATTTCCCTCTCTCTCCTCGCAATTTCTCTTTTAGTCAGTCTGGGTTTTATGGAATAGCTCTCTGTCTATAATAGCTTTGATTCATGTACAGTTTGTCAGAAATGTATTTATTTCAGACTTTTCAGAATTGATTTGGAAGTATTCTCCACCATTTTTTATCAACAAAAATATATATTACAATAAAAAAAGTTTTATTGTCACATACACCAGATAGGTGCAGTGAAATGTGTTGTTTTACAGGGTCAGCCATAGTAGTGCGGCGCCCATGGAGCAAATTAGGGTTAAGTGCCTTGCTCAAGGGCACATTGACAGATTTTTCACCTTGTCAGCTAGGGTATTCAAATCAGCAGCCTTTCGGTTACTGACCCAACACTCTAACCGCTAGGCTACCTGCTGCCCTACAACCCACTACTGTAAATACCATCCACTATTGTTTGAGAATTTAAAATACATTTGATATTGGATTTAAAACATATTCACAACATCTCCAAAAACATACGTCATTCATTAACCATAATGTCTCACACACGTAGAAGCCCAAAGGCTAACGTAAAGCCGATTAACCACCAGAGTATGTGGGGTGGGTACCTAGCATTAAAACACAGCAAGGGGTGAGAGAGGGTAATCTAACTGGCCCTTCAATTAACTGAGGACTGAGGTGCTGCTCCCCTGTTTTCCTAGGGGCACACTCTCCCAGAGCTAAGCCTGATGATCAATGACCCTGCTAGTTAGAGTCACCATCTGTCTTTATAACAATGTGATACTCTGTATAGAGACTATATGCTTTTACTTTACTGAGCCGTGTTGTATTTATTAAGCGTCTCAGAATAGGAGTCCGGGACTAGGATCAGGTTCCAACTGTCCATTTATTACAATCTAAAAGGCAAAACTGATCCTAGACCAACACTCCTACTCTGCGATGCTTTATGAATACTGTCCCTGACGTTAATCTGAGGATTGATGCAGAATGTAGGCTACACATTAAGACAGAGCAAGCTGTAAAACAAAGCAAATAGAAATTCAGAAATAATCCACATGGACTGTTGAGTGAGAATGGATAACTGTAGGCGTAATACCCAAAGGGAAATGTTCATACAGAACATAGAACAAAAATCTCTATGAAGACAGGATTTCTTATAGACACTCCAAGGTTTAAAAGGCCTACAAGGTGAATCAATATTGCTAAACGCTCTGGTAGCCACAGTTTGGCCAGCAAAGATGAGTTGTCTCAACTTATTGCACTCTGCCCATAGAGTTAGTGAGCTTTGAAAGATTCATAATAACTCGCAGCTCCCCCTGTGAGTATGAATTAAGTGGGGAAAGAAAATATCTATCAACATGTGTTAAGAAAGATGTTCAAACTTCTTTCGCCTGGCAAAAACAGATGGAGCAATCTTTGAAGGAGGAATATTAGCTACTCTTTGTAGACCCTGTACTGTACATGTAGTACACATTGAAGTGAAGTTTAATAAGTTAATTTAATGAGGCATAAAACAACGATGGTGGACTGATTGCGAGATTTCTTTGAATGCACACCTCACAGCCATTGGTTAATTTAGCCAGAAACCCCAACAGAAGATTTATCATCATGGGGCTTTCGACAGAGAGAAAAAAACAACCTTACAACAGTGCTGACATGCAGAACTGAATACAATAAAAAATGTCCTTCTTTTTGCTGGAATCAAAGCCTTACAAGCGGGATGTATTAGTGTAAGCAGAGTAACAATCACTAAATGATTGATTTCCTCATTAGGAATTTTGTCAGGACCATTTAGCCGCTTTGTAAATGAGCTTTCATTAGCCACTTGCAGGATAGCCCGGCCCGATGTTGATTTATAATGTGCAACATGGTCAATAGGTGCGGAAAGAGAGGAGTAAGGAGAGAGAGAGAGAGAGAGAGAGAGAGAGAGAGAGAGAGAGAGAGAGAGAGAGAGAGAGAGAGAGAGAGAGAGAGAGAGAGAGAGAGAGAGAGAGCAAAAGAGAGCGAAAGAAAGAGTGAAAGAGAGAGAGAGACAGTGGGGGGAGACATGGGGCATGCTGAGAGGGCCTACTACACAATAACACATCTACCATCTCTCAAACATGACTTCCAACAGCTGCCCTGGGCTCCATGTGCAAACCTCACCATAAATCTGTGCGCTTAGCAGACTTGGGTTCAAATATTATTTGAAATAATGTAAAATACTTCCATTGTGCTTGATTGAACTTGCCTGTTGCAATGTACCAATAGAAAAGTCCCCAACATGCAATTCCCCTGACCTTACACTTAAGGCAGGCTAAAGCAAATGCTCAATGTAGGCTATTTCAAATATTTCAAATACTATTTGAACCCAGGTCTGGTTCCTACTCACAAGAAACTTGCCTATGGCAGCCGAGAACGAAAACACACAAGCACTCCTGTTGCAGACAAAACACAAATACAGACGTGAGCATAATTTGCAAACAAAAAAATGCGGTGGCCTATTCACCAGTCTATTCAAAAACAAAGCAACTAGTGGTGTGACTGAAACTAAATGATGTGCAGTCTTTACACCTGCAGTGAGCTGTTGGACGAATAATTTCCAGCGCTAGCTGAGGTGAAATTATTTTGGTTTGTTTTTGTTATTTTCAAGAGGCTCTCGCACATCTGAAGCCCTGCGACCTTTAAGACACAGGGGAACTACCCAGGTCTCCAAGCAGCTGTATTACTTGGTTGCCAGGCGGAAAGTTTCTCTCTGTTTACATGAGAGGCAAACTCAACAGGAGGCTATTATTCTCCTCCGATGTACAGTACCTTTTGTACAGCGCACCACTTATCACCACAGTAATAGGCTTAATACAGCATGTCTAAAACACATAACATACAGTACACACAGCACACACAGTACAATATAACCAAAACCAAACACAGCACTTTGTAGACAGTCTCAAGTCGAATGGGAACAGATAGTCGAAATCTAAATGTCCTGTTTGTTCCCTCCACTTAATGTAGGATGTCTAAAACACGTGTAAAACATACAGTAGTTTATACAGCAAATTCACTCTTTTACAGTACAATATCAAGTTTATATTGTACTATAAACAGAACCAAAACACAGCACTTTGTCGTCCTCAAGTCTACTTAATGTAGTTATACAAGGGAATAGATAAAGTCAAAATCAACATATACTACTAGAACATTGACTTTTTTACAGTACAATATAACCAAAACCAAAACGCAGCACTTTGCCTTCTTCAAGTCTACAACTTTGTGTAGTAGTTAAACATGGGAATAAATAGAGTCATCTGACAGTCCTGTCGATTCCCTCCACTTAACCTAACAAGAGAGCCATGGCAACAAATCACGGCCTTATCTCCCTGTTCATTAAGTAATTAGGAGCATCCCATTGGCCCCATCGGATTCCCATCCTTTTTGTGCTGATAGACTGGCGCTCAGCACCATGATCTGACACACAGCTGGAACAGGGAGAAGCTCCAATGAGATGGCCATTGAGGATCAATGGAGAATCAACTGAAAATGATGGTCTGAACAGGTTGATACTTTTAATGTGGGTCAAGAGATTTGAATATAAAGGGGTTTCATTAACCAGAGTGTGTCCATAATATCATAACATATAATATATCGCAAATGTAAGTTAATTTTGAAGATCAGATACACAAAGAAAGGTACTTTTTCCACCATTGAGTGCATTACAGACAATTTGTATGGGCGGCAGGTAGCTTAGTGGGTAAGAGCGTTGTGCCAGTACCTGAAAGGTCGCTGGTTCTAATCCCCGAGCCGACTAGGTGAAAAATCTGTCGATGTGCCCTTAAGCAAGGCACTTAACCCTAATTGCTCCTGTAAGTCGCTCTGGAAAAGAGTGTCTGCTAAATGACTGAAATGTAAATGTTGTAGCTACAACTTCAAAGACAACACTCTCAGGTTTCACCAACCACTGAAGCAAGCAGCTCCCTGAGCAGACTTAACACAGTATTATGCCCCTGTTCTCTCCTCATTAGTCAACTCATCTACTTTATAAACCCCTGTCTCGTCACTGTATTAAAAAGTGTCAAAGGCAAACAGGCTTCAGTGTAGCATGGCTAGGCTATCCCCAGGCCACAGCACCTTGTAATGCTCTTTAATGCTCTTTCTACTGTCCACTGTTAGCATGAGGCACAGAACCATTGATTTTTCCCTCTGACACTTAATCTAAGCCCCCATGATCTATGACCTTATTTTCACACTAATTAATTTTTTATCAGAGGTGATAAATATCACATTGACATAACCAACTCTTTGTGCATTGCATCAATGCACTGTTTTGTTAAACATGACACCGCCCCGAGTGCTACAACACTGACTGGAGCTTGAAAAATGGCCTGTGTTGTGTTGTCTCCCCTTTCTTAAAGAGATAACGCCAAATAAAACAGTACAATGAATGGGTTTGTTTGAACTACAAGCAAATGATCCCTGGGTGTATTTATAATATCAGTATCATCCCAGCAAAACAAAATTGGTTCTGTGAAAGTTCCCAGAACATTTGTTAAGTTGCAGCAAATGTTCTCATAACACAAAAACTGTCCAGTCTTGCTGATGATTATACAATGTTTGTATAAAACATTCGCCTGATGTTGCGAGATCGTTCCCAGAGCACATTTAGTCTGTTCTTTAAAGGTTCCCAGAATGTTTCATTAGATTGTGGGAACATTGTGGGGATACGACAAGGTTCCCAAAACACTAAAACTGTCCAGTTGTGCTGATATTCAGATAATGTTTGTATCAGGGTGCACAAAACATTCCTTTGATGTTGCAAGAATATTGACAGATCAGCGTTTCTGAGTACTTTAAAGGTTCCCAGAACATTTAATTAGGTTGTGGGAACAGTGTGGGTACAAGATATGCTCAGTTGTGATGACATTCATACAATGTTTAAGTTAGGGTGCACAGGACATTCCCTTAATGTTGTAAGAATGTTGACAGAAAACCTGCTAAAAATTCCCAGAACATTTAATGAAGTTATGGGAGTTGTCTGGGATGTTGCAAGAATATTCTTGTGATACTCACATATTGTACTTTAGAGATTGCACAGAACATACCCACAATATTGCACGATGTTCCACAATTTCCAAGTAAGTCTGTTTTTATTACTTTTATTTGTTTTATGTTTAGAATACTATTCCATTGATGTTCACACAATATATATTTTACCTTGTCTTGGAGGTAGCCTGATGAGGACAGCTTGTCTGTCGAAAGGTTGGTTATTAAATGATTGCATCTGAGCTCCTAGAGTTTGCGGCTCTCCTTTTCTTTTTCAAGTGTTCTACTCCGCTAGCCAGCACCTCGCCTAAACAGGTGTGCCTTTCTTTCACCTTCAGATTAACCTTGTCTTGGAGGCCCTCAGAACATTTCAAGAAAGTTTAGAAAATGTTCTATTTAAGTTTTACCTAATATTACCACAACATTCTCAGCATGCACATTTCTAGTTCCTTGAAGCATACTAATGGCAATTTGCATTTGAGGATTGTATTGTAGGCCCACTACAAGGTGATATAGACACACAGCATTTCATTTAATCCATTTAATGTAATTTTTTCTTGTCCAATATTGAAATACAAATAATCCTAGATTCATCACAATACATATACTGAAGTAACAGAATGGTTTGGAAGGGATATGGTCCTATCAATTGTTATAATATAGGGACTACAATAATCAGACACATAAAATCTAAAAACTAAAAATCTATCTAATGTACATTATTTGCAGTCTGTTATCTCTCACCCTAGACGTGAACATACTGCTGGTGGGAAGGTGTGAGAAGGGAACCGTGTAGCCAGCTGGTGGCTCTGCAGGGGCCATGGGGGCTCGACAGAGGCTGGGGGACACAACAGGGACTAGGAGACTATCGGAGGAGTGATGGGGAGTCAATATGTGGTTGGGGTCTTGGACAGTAAGAGCTGCTGCTACAATGTGAGAAATCAGAGGGCATTGAGACTACTATAGGGGTTTCATCTTAGAAAAAAAGGGTTCCAAAAGGGTTCTTCGGCTGTCCCCATAGGAGAACCCTTTTTGGTTCTAGGTAGAACCCTTTTTGGTTCCATGTATCACCCTCTGTGGAAACGGTTCTGCATGGAACCCCAAAGGGTTCTACCTGGAACCCAAAAGGGTTCTACACCATTTTTAATTAGAGTTTATGGGATTTACTGAAGACTGGTGGCTCACTTCTGAGGTCCAGACAAGTGTGAAACTATGTTTATATAGGATATACGGCTGTGTGTGTGTGTGTGTGTGTGTGTGTCCATGCATTAGTGAGTGTGTGCGTTTGTTCATTTTTGTGTGTACAGTATATGTATGCGCTCACTGCGTATGCACGTGTGTGACTGTGTGTATACTCACGCTGGGCTGGGGACAGGGCCACAGGTGAGATCTCTCTAAATTACACTCACAAGTGGCCATTAATTATAGATGACATCCTGGTCAGACAAACGATTTCATCCTCAAATGAGGTCCGAGGGCGGCCCCTGCCCAGGTCCACAGGGGCCCAGCGGGGAAGCGGTTTGGGAGTGTGTGTGGCAGTGTGTGAGTGGATCTAGTGGGCCCTGTACGCACGGCAGGCTTTGATGAACACACTCATTATGCTAAAGAGCGCTCCATGCCTGGGCTTCCCTGTGCCTCCAGGAAAGGTTAATGCCGGAGTGGTTCAACAGCACAGCCACAGGCTACATGAGGGAGAATGGTAATAGAACCAGTGCCTAAGACAGTAGTAGTAATAGTAATAGACTGTCATACATCAAATACAATACCTCAGGCTTAGAACACAGACCTGTGTTGGTGGCCATTGAACTGTTGCTAACAGGTTATTGAAATTGGGTGAAAGTGTAACTGCTTTTGAGTGTACAAAGGCAAAAACAACGGGAAAATCTCTATCTCGCTATAATCACCTCTCTCTCTCTCTCTCTCTCTCTCTCTCTCTCTGAGGCAGAGATTAGTGTGTAATTACATGGGAGATCAGTAAAAAGAGAGAGAAGAAAAGGAACAGTGTATTTTAACTAGGCAGAGGGAGGTAGTGTGTGGTGTCGTCAAGGACCGACTGATTGTCTTACTTTTAATCCTCGACCTCATTATCACCTCTTGGTCAGGCTGCAGTCAGTAAATGAATCTATCTGCCGACGTGTCAAATCTTCACACTTTCTCCCTCATAATCACACAGAGGTGCCAATACAGCCCGGCCCCAGCATTCATTACATTCAGCAACCAAATCCCTTCATTTCATAATTAAAAAAACAATATGCCATTATTTTGTTGCTAATTAAACCTGATCAAATATGTATGTCTTCTTTAAGGTCAACCCGAAGACAAATGTAATTGATATCCTCTGAAGAATGAGAGAAAGACTGAAAGAAAGAAAGTAGGGCAGTGTCTGTTGTGATTTCTATGGGGGAGGAAGGGAGGAAGGGAGGAAGGGAGGAAGGGAGGAAGGGAGTGGTGGGATGCTTCTTCCATTCATTGTAGCTTAGTAGCCTCCCATGCCAGTCCTGATGGCTACTGAAAGACACTAATACAGTAACTGAGAGACTGTGAATATATATGATTTGGAAGAGTCATACATTTATGTGCAGTTCAACTGTGACACTCGTAAAACTGGGGGTTTTGTGGGAATGTGTGTTGAGTTGGGCCTGCTGTGAACCTTCATGTGTCTTGGCGTTGGCTTTACACAGGCCCAAATGTTCTATCCTGCACAGACAGTGTTCTCTGCCTTACACCCGCTATTGAACACTGTTCATACACTCGGAAGGAAATGGCTCCATGATAAGTTGCATTCTACTTGCAATGGACATGAGCCCATTGGACAAATCCAACAAAATATATGCTACCTTGAAAAACTATAATCATGCATTATTCAATTGGCAAGGATAGTGTGTAATAGAGAGATCCTAAACCCATTCCCTCCTGTAAATTATTCATTGAATTCAAATAACAGATGGTATAATTTTCTTAAAATATCTCAATCATTTTTCACATGGGCTTAAAATGGTTTAAAACAATATATTTGATGTCTTTGTATACATTATTTTTGTCCTGTGTATTAATATATATAGCCATATAATGTAATTGATTGATATTAACAGTTTGGGAATTTAGATTTAACCCAATGATTTAAAAATACGCAGTGTGGTTAAACCTGTACCTTCAATGTATGGCTACAGTAGCATTCAAATATGCTTAAAAGACACATATTGTAAAAAAAACAACAAAAAAAAAAAACATGCAATGCAAGGAAAATTTGAGTACTCTCCCAAATTTCTCTTTGTACTGCAGCAATCCTTGCAGATCATGTAGCCTAAACGAACCTTTGGATAATAGTTCGCTAAATGTTGAACTAAAGTCAGAGTAAATATGATATATTAGTACAAATGGGATTATTAGGAGACTGTGTGTCATCACTCCGACAGATACAGTGGGGAAAAAAAGTATTTAGTCAGCCACCAATTGTGCAAGTTCTCCCACTTAAAAAGATGAGAGAGGCCTGTAATTTTCATCATAGGTACACGTCAACTATGACAGACAAAATGAGAATTTGTTTCTCCAGAAAATCACATTGTAGGATTTTTAATGAATTTATTTGCAAATTATGGTGGAAAATAAGTATTTGGTCAATAACAAAAGTTTCTCAATACTTTGTTATATACCCTTTGTTGGCAATGACACAGGTCAAACGTTTTCTGTAAGTCTTCACAAGGTTTTCACACACTGTTGCTGGTATTTTGGCCCATTCCTCCATGTAGATCTCCTCTAGAGCAGTGATGTTTTGGGGCTGTCGCTGGGCAACACAGACTTTCAACTCCCTCCAAAGATTTTCTATGGGGTTGAGATCTGGAGACTGGCTAGGCCACTCCAGGACCTTGAAATGCTTCTTACGAAGCCACTCCTTCGTTGCCCGGGCGGTGTTTTTGGGATCATTGTCATGCTGAAAGACCCAGCCACGTTTCATCTTCAATGCCCTTGCTGATGGAAGGAGGTTTTCACTCAAAATCTCACGATACATGGCCCCATTCATTCTTTCCTTTACACGGATCAGTCGTCCTGGTCCCTTTGCAGAAAAACAGCCCCAAAGCATGATGTTTCCACCCCATGCTTCACAGTAGGTAGGTATGGTGTTCTTTGGATGCAACTCAGCATTCTTTGTCCTCCAAACACGACGAGTTGAGTTTTTACCAAAAAGTTCTATTTTGGTTTCATCTGACCATATGACATTCTCCCAATCCTCTTCTGGATCATCCAAATGCACTCTAGCAAACTTCAGATGGGCCTGGACATGTACTGGCTTAAGCAGGGGGACACGTCTGGCACTGCAGGATTTGAGTCCCTGGCGGCGTAGTGTGTTACTGATGGTAGTAGGGGTGTAACGATCCATCTACTACATCGATGTATTGATTTATATTCCTATGATCCAACTACATCGATCTGTGCTCGGCGAGTTGGCCTTTTGGACAACATATATCAATCTAACATCGTTTTAAAATGTAATAAATCGATTGTATCGATACTAGGAAATAACCCATTGGATTTAAGCACGTCAGACTTTATATGGATGTTTTTTCTTAGCACTTTTAATGATAAAGGCTTTAAACATTACTCAATTCAGTCTGCCTATCCGTGACGTCATCGCCCCGCGCCAGCAGCAGCGCAAAGGCGCAAAGACAACAAAACATAGCATGGCGGACGACAGAGGAGAAGCCGACGAGCGAGAAATTATCAAGCCACCATTGCGGTCCTTACAAGAAACAGGAATCTAGGAAACTTCACCTGCACTGTCCAGTATCCAGGTATTTATTTCAGTCACACTGGTTGAATTTTTGGCTAAAAGGTTACTGAATCGATTTCAAGTCACTGAATCATTTCGGATCGTATCGTTGTAAATGAACCAATATCGTCCTTGAATCGTATCGACAACCACGAATCGTGATACAAATCGAATCGTTGTTAAAACAAAGTCTGTGTTGCCCAGCGACAGCCCCAAAACATCACTGCTCTAGAGGAGATCTGCATGGAGGAATGGGCCAAAATACCAGCAACAGTGTGTGAAAACCTTGTGAAGACTTACAGAAAACGTTTGACCTGTGTCATTGCCAACAAAGGGTATATAACAAAGTATTGAGAAACTTTTGTTATTGACCAAATACTTATTTTCCACCATAATTTGCAAATAAATTCATTAAAAATCCTACAATGTGATTTTCTGGAGAAACAAATTCTCATTTTGTCTGTCATAGTTGACGTGTACCTATGATGAAAATTACAGGCCTCTCTCATCTTTTTAAGTGGGAGAACTTGCACAATTGGTGGCTGACTAAATACTTTTTTTCCCCACTGTACATGATGTCAAACTACCCAAGCAAATTCAATTACCCACGCCATTACTCCATACTGCTAGTGGAGACGTATTGGTCACGTTAAATATTGATGGGAACATAGATGCCACATTTGTTCATCTCCAAAGGTGAACACATCTATTTAAGGTAATCACAGATGCTAAATATGAGGCAAGTCCATTTACTGTATCAAGTGGCTACTGAAAAAATAAGAAGAAAGAGTCTATTGCAATGCGAAGGTTCTAGCCATGTTTTTAATGGACCGAAGTTTAGTATTGTATAGAGCTTTCTGTCTTGGTGAGTATTTCTGTTCATAGATGTCACACAATCAGAGGTTTTGAATGTCACTTTTTTCTCATATTGCTAAATGAATGATCAACTTCAGAACCATCCCTAGTATGTTTTAACTATACACTTTGACAGAACCTACTGTATACATTGACCAATCAAACAATCTAAAAGTCCCCCTGTACCAATGCAAAATCCATTTGACTCATACATATGTTTGATAAGTAAACAAAATAAATCAAGTTAGATATGGGCTAAAGTAAGAGGAGAGAGAGAGAGGGAAATGTAGCATCACTTTATACCAGTGCTAACCATATACCAGTTAGAAGTGGTAGCTTCACAGGTACTGACAGTCAACAGGGAGGGAGGAGTTAACAGGAAGTGTTGGTTAAAACCCAACAATACATACCTGCTGTTAAAGCGTTCAGGGTGTCTCTCCCTCATCATGTGGAACCGATGTGCAATGGAAGCATCCTTAATAAGGGAGAGAAAATAACATGGATTCAGCAATGACTTTGATTTTGATACTCATTTATACAGTGGAAAAGGCCTATTAACCAATGACTATATAAATAAGGGGTATACATATATTAGGGGTATAGAACTATATAAATATTTTCATTTTTAAATAAGCTACAAGACTAAAAGGGTTTAAATATTGTAATTTCAATTAATTAATTTATGAGATATAAAGATGTAGCAAAATACAGGCAAGATGTTGGTACTAAAAACAATATGATGGCTTTTAAACACCAATTAAAGTCAACTTCTTCCCCTCTGCTGATAAGCATCTCAGCCAACTTTCTATTGCATCCAAAAAACGACACATATGCCTGATGCATATTGATATGCCTAAACAGAACCAGGGTGTTTTGAATTCCTGGCCAACTGGAAGGCGGGCGGTGGCTTAGGTTTGAGCCAGGGATGAGGGTATTGACAGAGAGCTTGACGAACAGCACGCCGTCTTTCCACACAGGCTAATTAATTAAACACACATCGCTAGTAATCACAGCTCCCAACGTACAGGATGCTGCCGGCTCCCCTGGCAACCAACTTGTTCTCTCTCTCTCTCTCTCTCTCTCTCTCTCTCTCTCTCTCTCTCTCTCTCTCTCTCTCTCGGCTAGAAGTGCACCACATCGGTAGACTCACAGGCAGTGGTGGGTGTTTGTTTGGGTGTTTGCGTGCATGCATGTGTGATGACAATGACAGACTGTGAGATTGACAGCTACTCCAGTAATCAAGAGAATCTAAGGAAAGAAAATCTGTGCCTGTTTGTTGAAAATTCAGTGTATTCTGTGAAATGCTACCAAAAAAGTTGACTACCCTTGGGCCATTTGAAGATGAAACCTCACTAGAATTTACCATGGTCTTTGAGAGTCACGATGATTGCCAAGTAAAAACAACAACAACTGACGAATAGTCTTCAACCACAAAAAGGGGGGAAACTTCAGGAAACTTTTGGGGTTTGTTCCTATCCCCCCACTTGAGAAATCTGTTTTGACCCGCTCCTTCTTGAGTGGCTCTATTGAAACACCAGCCACAGGGAGGACCCCCTGCTAGCTCTCAGTACAAGATGTAGGAGAAGCCCAAAAAAAATCAATGCCGTTTTTCTTGATGTCTTTTCAAGACGCTGTTAAATAAAGACCAAAGAATTTCCAAGATCCCCGCAGACTCTATTTATCTTCAACACAAGCCAGAAAAGGTGAGATGATGGATATATCTGAAAGATTGTAACTTGATTTTCTTACAAACAGGACAATAACTGAAAACAAGAGAGCGAAACGAAGGAGGGGTTGTTTCCCTTTTGGTTTGAAATCTGTGAAAATATACTGTAGCTCAGAAACCAGTGAGCAACCACTTCAAGTAACCTCCAAATTGAAGAGGGTACACTATAACCCTGTATACAGTATGTCAAATCAAAACGAATTTTATTGGTCACGTACACATATTTTGCAGACGTTATCGCGGGTGTAGCGAAACGCTTATTTTCCTAGCTCCAAAAATGCAGTAATACCTAACAATACAAAACAATACACGCTAATCCCAAAACATTTTAAGAAAGGAATTAAGAAATATAGAAATATTAGAACGAGCAATGTCAGTGTCCGGTGTATATAGACATTGGTGTGTATAGACATTATGGACAGTATATTAATAGAAAAGGTGTGTACAGCAGTAGTTATAAAGGATGAGCCTTGACTAGAATACAGTATATACATAAGAAGTGGGTAAAACAGTATGTAAACATTATTAAAGAGACCAGTGTTCAATGACTATGTACATAGGGCAGCAGTCTCTAAGGTGCAGGGTTGAGTACTGGGTGTTAGCCGGCTAGTAACAGTGACTAAAGTTCAGGGCAGGGTACTGGGCAGAGGCCGGCTAGTGGTGACTATTTACCAGTCTGATGGCCTGGAGATACAAGTTGTTTCTCTGTCCCAGCTTTGATGCACTTGTACTGTCTCCGCCTTCTAGATGGTAGCGGGGTGAACAGGCCGTGGCTCGGGTGGCTGAGGTCCTTGATGATCTTCTTGGCCTTCCTGTGACACCAGGTGCTGTAGATGTCTTGGAGGGCAGGCAGTGTGCCACCAGTGATGCGTTGGACTGACCGCACCACCCTCTGGAGAGTCCTGCAGTTGAGGACGATGCAGTTGCCATACCAGGCGGTGATACAGCCCGACAGGATGCTCTCAATGGTGCATCTGTAGAAGTTCCTATCCTTCCTATTGAAGTTCCTGTCAGTTTCTATTGTAACTAGATGGACTGCTTCTGCATATGTGATGTACTGTATGTGCTACTACATTCTACTAAAGCTAATGTAGAGCAAGTTCATATGTACATTAAGAGGACATTAGCAGTAGATCATCTGAACTGATGATACAAACATCTTCAACCTCAATCCCCAAAAAGCAGTAGGGCAATGGAGTCTCACTCTCACACTCCCTCTCACTCATCTTGGGGCCGCCTTCAAATAATTACCATTGTAAAACTCTGGCACCCAAATTAATACAGGACATGTGTAATGTAATGTGCCCTCATAGCTCAAAGTTTAGTCCAATTATGAGTGGTGCTCAGGCAGCTGACGACTCTCCTTCACAGGGAGAGTAATGACTTTGACATGCGAGCCCGGGTCATTAGGCGAATTGACTGCATCATCTTAGGACCTCCTCTGTGATTAGGTCTGTCCCTCAGCACACTAAGCCCTGATTGAGATCATTACACTTCACGTCACTTTAACGTCTTCATAACGGGATGGCGCCATTAATTCCATTCAACTGGATGGAATGGCTAGATTGGAAGGATAGGAACAGGAGGTGTGCTAAAATAGTTGATGATGTGGTCGGATGATGGTCTATTGGGAAGATTTTATGACTTGGCGTTTGGTGTAAATCTTGTAAAAATGGAAGAGGAAGTTGTAGGTGATCCTAGTACTTTGTGAAGTTTGACAGGAATGGTGGGTTCAAAAATATGTTTTGAAATATACTGTCCCCATCCAACACTGTTACCCATTCATTCACCAACCCCAGGGCTTGTACAAGTTCAAACAGACGCCTTTCGGTTTGTGCAATGCCCCAGCCACCTTCAACGCCTGATGCAATGGCAGGTTGATGCTTATTGTCATGAATCTTGCCCTGGAGGCAGAAATGAGCGATTTCCGCTGGATGGGCTAGTTGCAAAGTCAAAATTGGCTGTATTGTAAAAATTCAGGAAAACAAAAATGATATTTTTGGTCTTAATTTAAGGTTAGGGTTAGGAGTTTAGGGTTAGCAGTGTGTTTGGTTAAGGTTAGGGTTAGGTTTCAAATCCGATTTTATGACTTTGTGGCTGTGCCAGCTAGTAACCATTCTGCAGAGCTGCCTCCAGTGCAAGATTCATGACAATAAATGCCAACCTGTGATGCAACGCTTAGAATTTTTAAGATAAACAGATATGTACACTCAGTACATGAAATGTTTTAAATCCAAGAATAAGATGCTTATGATTACACTTTTCTGTGCCTCGACATACTGAAACCTTTTGGTTACTACTGATCTTCAGAGTTTGACTCTACAGAAATGTCATTACAGAAACAATCTTTCTTCATCTGCATAATCTCTGAGGTAATTATTAGCATGACTTGTTTTGTAATCTTTATTATATTCAGTGATTTCTTCCAACGGAAAACAAAATCTGATGTGAAATGTAACACAAAATATATCACACTCAATTCCATCGAGGGCTCAGCATCTTCCTAATCCTGGGCAAACAACTTCATTTGTCAACACTTTCGTTAGATACTAATCCCACTGTTAGAAGGCCATGAAAATAGTGTTATAGCAATGAAGTCTATTGGTTGCAATGGCTTAAAGTAATACTTCTGCTAAGGCTGCTACCCTTGTTTGGTTGAAGGGTATTGCAATATCTGACATACATTCAGAAAACATGTTTTGCCTCAAGCCATGACGAATATTGAGGAATTATGAGAGAAATTATCTTTATTTATTCCCATGCTTACAACCTCTTCGTCTGTTAAGTGGACCTACCTTCGTCATTACGGGACAAAGCCAGGGCATTTATTTGACTAACATTTGTAAAGACATGCATCACTCATTTCCCCGTCATGTTCGAATGTCACAACACCAAGATGCCACCGTCTCCCAACCTGCAAATGTCAATTACCATATTTCCCCTGACATTTATCAGTAATGACCCACATGAGCTGGGTGTAATCAGTGTCATTATGTTGAAGATGGACAGAGATGGGCCTGACTCTGCTGTTGATGAGTTTAAAGGTACGTAACACCATGCAGATGCACACAATACAACATATTTTTCAATCAGAGGTGGTTGAAGCTTAAGCACATCTCAATAAAGGCTTATTAACTAGCATCTGATCAAAATGAGTAAGATTACTCAGAAGAACATATGATTATGTTGCTGCTTTAAATTCGGTATACAGTATTTATCCAGTTGAGGCCTTTATATAGAGTATTCGATTGAAATGGATGATCCACGATAAGCACGAAGTTGTCAGTCTTCTTGTTTTAGGTGAGCGCCTTAGATCAAACATGGCCCTCTCCTATTGACTAGTCCAGTTTGTTGACCCACTGTTCTTGCTTAAAGGGATAGTTAATCAATTTTAGATATTTAGATATGTGTTTTACTTATCTTGAAAGCCATCTATGGACAAGGAGTGACTGCAATCCACACTTTAGTTTTGTTAAATAGCAACTGGCAAGATTTGCTAATGTTAGGAAGCAAATATTTCAAATCGCTGAACTATCCCTTTAATGTGACACATACTCTGTAAATTAGTATAAGTAACTCACCACCCCAATAGAGAAATAGTTGTTGACGATGCTGTAAGGCACAGGGTCTCCCCTCTCTTCTTTGTCTGTGGGTGTGACGTCAATCTTCCAGCGGTCCAACAACACCTCAGAGCTGTTCTCTATGTCCCTGAGGATATTCAGAATGCTCTCTCCCTCATAACCTAACACACAAACAACATAGGATAGCTTATAATACCCCAGACCAGAAGATAAAATGCATTATAGTATAGGCCATAAGTATTTTAATATAACATTATTCTCTGGAATTGTATTTATTCCTACTGATTTATTCCTACATGAAAACATTGGTACAGTCAAAGGAGAAAATGAATATATGGTCAAATCTAAATTCAATATCATGAATCACATAATTTGATTTTTTGCACACTTTGGGTCAGTAAATTGCCATTAAACATACCTCCTCCCCATCGCAGACACCTTGCCAGGTCATTTCCTGTTCCAAGGGGAAGTACACACACAGGGGGGTTCCTGTCCAGGTTGGCCTTATCTACACAAAAGGTACAAGAAAAACATAATGACATCATACTGAATTACTATTATTATGCCATTTAGCAGACGCTTCTTACAGTCATGCATATACATTTTACATACGGGTGGTCCTGGGAATTGAACCTACTATCGTGGCGTTGCAAGCTCCATGCTCTACCAACTCAGCTACAGAGGACCACACCCTCACATTCTGACCACAACAACAAAATTGAACACGGATCCACTTTAATATACTGTATTTAATTTTTTTATTTAACTTTGATTTGCCCAGGTCTCTGAGTAAAAAAAAGAATCTCTATTGGACCTAATCCAAGTGCAGCACGGTCATCTGACCATCACTTAAATCTAAACACAAGTACACAGTGCAGCTCTGACATCTGTGCAACAACAGATAGACCTTGACTCGACGTGAATGTCCAGTCTCGCAGGCTATTTCAGGAGAAGCATTCATTCTGTCCATGTTATTACTTCTTTTTGTTTTGATTGATAAAAAATTGAGGCAATTTTTTAAAGGCAGAAAAGGGAATAACTCTTCAAGAAAAAATTGACTTCAGGATATTTCTCAAATGACGACTAATATGTCGATTTTGATCATCCTGTTTTATTTTCCTTGAATACGCAGGCTTGGATGTAATGAACATGTTTATATTCAAATCATAGAAGTTTATTTGATGATTTCTTGCAAAATCACGAGTGCACTGTTTTTTCACCAAAGTAATACAAATCAATAATAATTGAAACGCACAACAAATGTCACTGTACGGCACAAATGTACTGTTTTTAAAGAGAACACAATCAAATGTTAAGGAAAGGGGAAAACTGTTATAATGCAGAAGTTAGTGGAAGTGCACACTCACCTATAAAATCCAGAATCCAACCGACTGTCCCATCCCCACCACAAGCTAACACTCTGAAATCTGGAACCTCTCGGAAGAAATTCAACCTTGAACGCAACAAAGAAATCATACACACAATATCAATCATGTAATGCATGAAATAATCCCCTTTTAGAGAGAAACATATTATTTTCTTGATCTACTATAAATTCATTACAAATCTTTAGACATTTTGTCCTGAAAAATGTTACTATTTTGTCCAATAGTAAATTGAACTCAAGGCTACCTTATTCAAAGCTAAGTGTTTGATCTCCATACTTATCCCTATTTTATCTCACATCTATATGGTAACTCTGCTGCACTGGAGCGGCTCTGCAAAGGCCCCTGTAATCTCACAAAATAACACATATCACATTGACAATTATTCCTTCAGCCAGCTAGTCTGTTCAGAGACTAATCGGATCAAGATGGCCAATGTTCAGTCCAACTTCTTCCGTTCCTTCACAATAACAAAGCCCTAACTGAATGAGGGAGCCTCCAAGCCTCGTATGGCGGATAAATGATTCGCTCAATTACTCTCCAACTGGGACCGCAAACCGTATTAGGTGCAAAACAGACGGCCGCGAACATGAAAGGCAACTTTGGGGATATTTAAATACCAAGAAACAAACACTTAATTTGGGCTAATTGCGTTAGCGCTAGCGCTAATTGACAGCAGTGTGTGCGGCTGCCTCGGCCTGCTAGTGGCCACGGTGACCAGTCACCTTGTTAATGCCAACCGCATTACATACACTTCACCAAATATTAACAAGGTTACACCCGGGCAAGGTCATCTGGAATGTTCCCAGCTAAAGATAGAGGGGCTTCTTCTGAGTGCAACAAGTCTCTTAGAGCCTCGTCAATAAACATGGCCTTCCCAGCCAACAAAGCTCAAAACACAGAGAATCAATAGTGAAGACACAATATGGCCGACAAGGTCAATTTCAAATCTTACAACTGTGTAAGATAGATCTATGGAGTAAAGCCATTATGTACACCTTATTTTGCCCCTCTGGGCCACCGTAATTATGAACACAAACTAAACCTTCTACAAAAGTTTATATTGGACTTTTCCTCTTCGCAAACCATTTACATTCTGCTTTCAAAAACTAATCAAAGTCCAGCAACATCAGAGCACGAAAGTGATGCGTTCTTGCATTTCAGAATGTTCTGAAATTGGTGTGTCTAAACCAAAAGGGACGGAACCTTGTGCATCGAAATGATCTGCTCATCTTCTTAATCATAGACATGGATGGTCCACAGCCCCATACCCATGCCTGTGCAGCCTACAGCGGTATGCGTGATCACACATCAGCATGCCTCGCGTCACTCACAATGTATCGCTATTCCCACACACTGTAACCAATACTAGACTCAAGCACAGTGTTGTTGTCTCACTGTTTGTGATGTCTAATCTCACCTTTCAATCACGTCTGCATATGAATCCTGATTGAGTGAAACGCTCAAATTGAGAGACCTCCCTTGCATGAGATGTTGGATATTATGACTGGCCAACAGCGGAATACATTAGGGGTTTGTAAACAGTCGCTCATCCACCACTCTGATTCCACATGTAACTTGAGGGTAATATTGATAGTTGAATCATGACTGCAGAGTGTTCTGTGCACTTTAGGTGATGTTACGGAGTCTGTGTGAGATGATTAGAGCAGAACTTACCCAGGCATGGGTCCGTTCTTGGCCAGGTTGTATACCTGCCGAGGGTTTAAGAGGTACTGGAATTTTCTGTAGATCCTGGAGGAGAGGAGAAGAGAAGAGAGGAGAGGAGGAACAAGAAGAAGACAGAAGAAGAAATTGTGACAACCAGCAATACAGTGTTGAGTTGACCCACAGAAACCTACTGAAGCATCTCCCCCTTACAGCTACCACAAAACATCTGGACCATGAAGAAAAGTCAAAATGCAAACACTTAATTGAAATGTGATCAACTGAACCCTACACTGTCTGTATGCCATTTTGCTACAGTATGATTGACAGCTCCAATGCCCTATCAAAGTGTCATTGTCAGCAACTGGGAGGGCTATAGGAAGAAGTCATTAGAAAGACTAATTCATTTTAATTTCAATTTCATTATATCAACTGGCTCAAGTCATATTTTGATCTCATCATTTAAACAAATGAGGACTGAATTAATAAGGAGTAGAATGAATATATTCAGTAATAACCCAATTAGGCCCTGGGTTAAAGAAGGAGGCCTACATCTATATACTGCCAACCAGGGATGTGACAGTCAATGATAGTGCCATCTAAGAACCTCTGCTGAATCAGGCAGGAGTCCGTAGGTAAAAGTTATGGTGTTTCTATTTGACTAACTAAGCCATGAGCACTCTGTGTGCAGCCAGGGGCTATGCAGCTCTTTTATTGAAGAGCAGTTCTGAGAATCCCTTTTTACAGAGAGGTAGAGTGTAGGGAGAGAGTGTGCTTACCTGTCTCCCTGCTTCCCTCCACTCTTTGGATTCACAAACACTAGCAGAGGATGAGTTCCCTCTATTGTTGTGATCTATGCAAAATATATCAAAACAGAAAGAGATTTCAGTCCAATTGCTTATAATGTAGTAGGCTGATCTTACGTTAGAGTATAGCGTAAAATCATTATTATAAACTGTGAATAAAAAATATTAATATTTATTTTAAAAAAATGCCTGGCTGCTTCCCCCTGGTCCCTCTTGTTACTGGTATCGACAATTAAAAGTTAAAACATTTCTCATATGAACAACAGACATACAACACCCAACAAAATCCCAGGAAATCAACTGAACAACGAAATCCCTCCTAATTCCAAGTTATAACCATCCCCATCTCCTGATTGGGAGAAGCAGTTTGAGTCTTGAGTGACTCGGAGGCCATCCGTAGGGACCAGCCTCCCCATCGCTACCTCTGGTAGAGTGGATAGAGTGAAGCAGTAGGCCTCTACCACGCTGGAGGCAGCCAGGGCTGAGGCATAAACAAAACAAGCCCTAATCGCAGGCTGTAGCCTACAAGTTCCTGCCGCTGAGTGGTGGGCGGCGGCGACAGTACGCCCGTGCAGCTCCCTGACACAGATGAAGCTCTTAACTCTCCCTGTCTGCTATCCCAGCAGGCCGAGCGGTGGATTAATGAGCTCCCTGTCCAGCCAGGAGTGATCCATTACTTCCTCTAATTATAAATAATAATCCTGATTATTACGCTGGTTAGCCAGAGAGGGCAGAGATGGATGTGGCGGGGAGATGATTCAGGTTGATTGTCACCGGTTGTCTGTCTGTTAGATATTAGGGAGGATTTGGATGGAGCTGGTTCTTGTTTTGTTCACCAGTAGAATCTAATCTCATATTAATCCCACCAGTGTCATTTCATATTATCCTGCACCCATCAAAATAAAAATTGTGGTTAGATTAGAAATGTCAATTTACAGTACACATTCTTCACTCAATTCTACTAAATGTTACCCTGATGCTTCTTTTGAAGAAAAATAAAAAGGTTTGGATTGTCACCTGTAGTCCTTGGCCATCCACTGTGACTGAGTTGGCTCTCTGCATCTTCCCTCTGCCTCCTGATTGGCTGGATCTGGAATCTTTCCTCACCGTAGACTGTCTTTCCTGGGGGTCAAAGTGCACAGACACAGTAGAAATGGGCATCTTGAAAACAATCTAATACACGTTATCAAAAAGATCAACAATTTAAAAAATGGACATTGCCTCTATAAATATGGGAAACTGTGATCTATGTATGAGGAAATAATATATTTTCATAAAGCTATCCTGTGGTAAATTTGTATATAAGCAGAATATGGTATCGTTTTGAAAGTTAAACTCACCAGTACGACAGGACAGATTGTGTTGGGGGGCAGGATATGGTCCTTCAGCGGTCCACAGTCACACTCAGGTTTCACATGGGAGGCACACTTATTATGAAGCTGGATGAGGGGAAGCAGTCAATTACAACCGTATTAGTATTAGGGTGAAATTCAAGATCATAACATACTATTCAATGTTCCATTTCATTTGATTGTAATCTGTAATTTGATTTCACAGTTCAACAAGATTCAGTTCCTTTTAAATGTATGGGGGCCATAAAATATAACGTTCAGTTTGTATCAGCTATTTAGATACAAAATGTTTAGCTAAACACCAAGTGCTATTGAGTAATAAGCAAAGAGCATGTTGTGTGATTTACAAAAACACAACCGGGTTTATTTAAAAAAGACTGATATCAAAACACATTTTTACTGTTGTTTATTTTCAATTAGCGGAATACTGGAAATAACTGTTACTTGGTGTAAATTGGTAAAGTGAGAGTACTCAGATAAAAGGTGCAAAAAATAAATAATAAACAGCAAGAAACAGTGGAAAATAATGAGGAGGCTGATTCTTCTGGGGGGGGGCGTACCGTGATTTGGCACCACACACAGTGAAGCCCAGTCAGACCCTGGTAACACTTAATGGTTTTGTGACACTTGTCACACTTGGTCGGGCAGTTCCCCTCCACCCAGAAATGGTGCATCACCTGTGGAGCGAGAAACAGAGAGAAACAGAGGAGAAAAGCATGACAGAAAACAAGTGAGAAATAACATAATAGCAAGAAAGAAAGAAAGAAAGAAAGAAAGAAAGAAAGAAAGAAAGAAAGAAAGAAAGAAAGAAAGAAAGAAAGAAAGAAAGAACTTTGAACAATGTTTGTGATTTGGGCATGTATTTAAACCAGACTAAATATTGTAATTAGCTATGCTTAGTAGCAGAATGAGTTGTTTAATTCCATTAGTGAGGAAGGAGCCCTGGGTCTAAGCTCCGTGGAGCATCGCTGATCCGAGCGTGCCCATTAGTAAGCACTCCAATTGGACCCACCTCTGTGTTTTTCTTGGTCTTCACGTAGGTTTTGATGCACGACGGAGGAGCACGGGCCACACAGCGCTCATGGACTGTATACTTGCAGACTGGGAGAGGTGGAACCCACATTTTGACCCCAAAAAATCACAAAAAACAACTAAGAATAGCAAACATTAAATTGAGGTTGGCGATAGGAATTTTCGAGTGGTGATTTGGGTCACAAAAATGCCTTCTTAATGATGAAAAAGTGCATGGAATAAACCTTGAATTAATGGTAAAAATGAGAGTAGACATGAGGAGACAACTGTTAATGTTACCATACTCACATGAGCAGCACAGCCCTTGCTTCCCCAGGCCTATCAGCATGTTCAGACACAGGTTACAGTAGGCCGGCTTGTTGAAATGCTTCAGTCTCCACACATGCTGCCCATCGTCTTTCACATTCTAAAGGAAAGATTATTGATTGGTTTGATTGATTGATTGGTTACTTATTGACTGGTTGATGGTTGGGTGATTAGTTATATGGCATGACGCATCGTTTTGGAACTTTCAGATATAACTCGGCCATGTAAAACAAACATGCCTCTCTGACATGTACAATAAGGAATCACATCGGCTCTATTCATGGCATTTTTATCTGCAGCGTTCGACAACGTTTGGCAACTGAATGTGGCCCATGTGAAAGATTTTGATAACTATTTACTGTTCTCCAAAGCCATCAACTTTAGTGGGGAGGATTGCCTGGGCTCTTCCCTTTAATCCTGTGTCATTAATCATGTCATCTATTATGTCAATCACAGCAAAATGACAGTCTGATGTTACTGTAAGAGACTATCTCATTAGCCTGTGATAAGTGAAGACTTGTTCAAGATCATTGAAGACAAAGACAGTCAAAAACTGAACAGATGACTCCATCTAGTGGACAAAGAGAGCTGGGACATCAGTGGTACCATCTGAGGCAGTTATTGACAAGTTAGATAGTGGTGGGAATGTCCAGACCTTGTACCTGATTCACACTATAGGGCCCACCCCAACCATACCGTGCTGGCTCAAATATTTTTTGGTGGATGAGGAACCAGGCTGGCCTAATACAGCTTGCCTTGGCTCGGTTTGGCCTGGTAGTGTGAATCAGGCTATGGTGTGTTTAAAGTGAAGTCAAAATTCAGTTTTTCCTGTGTTTTGTATCATATTATACAACAGCTGATGAAACTAACACTGTAAAGGTCTGGATTTTTTAAATCTGTGTTATTTCCTGATAGTTGGGTCGTTCCACCAAAGTGTAACTTGGTCAATTTTCACCTAGTTTTAACATTCTGTCATAAAGAGCACATGTTCAACTACATTAAAAAAACACGTTTTCCCATCTCAAGAGGTTAAATAACAAAAATGACTAAAGTAAGTGCCTATTAAGTGCCAAATAAAGCAACAGAGTTGACTGTAACAGGGATGACTATTTCATCTTAAATCAGCCATTAATCCCTGCGTGGCACATGGAATGGAAGCTTGTTGTGTGCAACAGGGAAGGGCAATTGAATGCAAGTTTTACAAAACAATTACATATCTAAAACATTTCTAGCCTGTCTATCTATGGGTAACAGGGTTGATGTGTTATGTTCGACACGCTCAGTTTTCCACCAAAAAACACCAGAAAATGGCCAAAAATAGTAGAACCAGCTCACCTGCTTTTGCACTATGATCTGACTATTAGATGTTCAATGTTTCTTTATAAAAAAATATTTTAAAAGGAGTAGTTTCGCCATATTAAAACAAGAGTTCAGTTCACACAACAGGATTCTCCTGAACATGAGGGACGTACGTAAATCAATCACTAATCACATGAAATCAATCATAATCTTCAGAGATGACTTTGTCAAAGCAACAAAAATAACTAGGGCTTTACAATAATGGTATAACTTGGATAAATGTTTTGATTAAGTAGATTGAAATCTTGGCACTTTAGCAAGCCTTTATTCATATTAAAAATATGGTTGCTGGTTGAAAATACAATCTACACAGGACCTTCTAATCAGCCATTTTTGCATGAATGGAGTTTCGGCTTCCCTGGTGACATCACCAGGCGGTAAATAAGTTAATAGACCAATAACAAAGAAAGTTCCATACCTGCCTGCCAATAATAGCTAGTTTTCCGTTTTCAGACAGTCCTAGCAAAATTCTTGCTTGAGAAATAGCTTTAGCTTAAAAGCTATTTTTGTTTCTTTTTTTACCATTTTAATGAAAAAATATAACAGTAAGGTACTTAATTGTTACCAAGATATGATTTGATATTGATATAAAAATGGCTGCATTGGGCCTTTAACTGAGCTTGAACTAAATCCTGCACACACTATGGCCTTCCAGGACCAGAATTGGACACCTCAGAGCCATACATAGACATTCTCAATGGCTCTGGTCTAGAAAATCAGCCATTGAAAGTAACAACAGTGATGATGTTTAGGTAACACATTCTTGACTACTCACCGTCTCTAGGCCCAGTAGTACCAGCAGGGGGATGGTCGTGCTTCCTCCCTGGATCCACTCCTCTAGAGACACAGTGCCGTCATGGTCATAGTCGATCTCCTGCATCATCTCCTGCAGAATCTACTCACAACCAATCAGAGACAGTACAGTGGGATCTCTCAACACGGGGGGCGGCAGGTAGCTTAGTGGTTAAGAGCGTTGTGCCAGTAACCGAAAGGTCGCTGGTTCTAATCCCCGAGCCGACTAGGTGAAAAACCTGTCGATGTGCCCTTGAGCAAGGCACTTAACCCTAATTGCTCCTGTAAGTCGCTATGGATAAGAGCGTCTGCTAAATGACCAATTTATTTATTTATTTATTTATTAATTTAACACAGATTATATATACAGTGGGGAGAACAAGTATTTGATACACTGCCGATTTTTCAGGTTTTCCTACTTACAAAGCATGTAGAGGTCTGTAATTTTGACCATAAGTACACTTCAACTGTGAGAGATGGAATCTAAAACAAAAATCCAGAAAATCACATTGTATGATTTTTAAGTAATTAATTTGCATTTTATTGCATGACATAAGTATTTGATCACCTACCAACCAGTAAGAATTCCGGCTCTCACAGACCTGTTAGTTTTTCTTTAAGAAGCCCTCCTGTTCTCCACTCATTACCTGTATTACCTGCACCTGTTTGAACTCATTACCTTTATAAAAGACACCTGTCCACACACTCAATCAAACAGACTCCAACTTCTCCACAATGGCCAAGACCAGAGAGCTGTGTATGGACATCAGGGATAAAATTGTAGACCTGCACAAGGCTGGGATGGGCTACAGGACAATAGGCAAGCAGCTTGGTGAGAAGGCAACAACTGTTGGCGCAATTATTAGAAAATGGAAGAAGTTCAAGATGACGGTCAATCACCCTCGGTCTGGGGCTCCATGCAAGATCTCACCTCGTGGGGCATCAATGATCATGAGGAAGGTGAGGGATCAGCCCAGAACTACACGGCAGGACCTGGTCAATGACCTGAAGAGAGCTGGGACCACAGTCTCAAAGAAACCCATTAGTAACACACTACGCTGTCATGGATTAAAATCCTGCAGCGCACGCAAGGTCCCCCTGCTCAAGCCAGCGCATGTCCAGGCCCGTCTGAAGTTTGCCAATGACCATCTGGATGATCCAGAGGAGGAATGGGAGAAGGTCATGTGGTCTGATGAGACAAAAATAGAGCTTTTTGGTCTAAACTCCACTCGCCGTGTTTGGAGGAAGAAGAAGGATGAGTACAACCCCAAGAACACCATCCCAACCATGAAGCATGGAGGTGGAAACATCATTCTTTGGGGATGCTTTTCTGCAAAGGGGACAGGACGACTGCACCGTATTGAGGGGAGGATGGATGGGGCCATGTATCGCAAGATCTTGGCCAACAACCTCCTTCCCTCAGTAAGAGCATTGAAGATGGGTTGTGGCTGGGTCTTCCAGCATGACAACGACCCGAAACACACAGCCAGGGCAACTAAGGAGTGGCTCCGTAAGAAGCATCTCAAGGTCCTGGAGTGGCCTAGCCAGTCTCCAGACCTGAACCCAATAGAAAATCTTTGGAGGGAACTGAAAGTCCGTATTGCCCAGAGACAGCCCCGAAACCTGAAGGATCTGGAGAAGGTCTGTATGGAGGAGTGGGCCAAAATCCCTGCTGCAGTGTGTGCAAACCTGGTCAAGACCTACAGGAAACGTATGATCTCTGTAATTGCAAACAAAGGTTTCTGTACCAAATATTAAGTTCTGCTTTTCTGATGTATCAAATACGTATGTCATGCAATAAAATGCAAATTAATTACTTTAAAATCATACAATGTGATTTTCTGGATTTTTTGTTTTAAGTGTACCTATGATACAAATTACAGACCTCTACATGCTTTGTAAGTAGGAAAACCTGCAAAATCGGCAGTGTATCAAATACTTGTTCTCCCCACTGTATATATATATATATTCAAGCTATACAAAGTTACAGTATTTTCTTGTTATTCATATAACTGACACTAGGGGGCCCTAGAGCCTAATACTTTGCTCTATATAAGGCCCTATAAGAAAATTTAAATGTTAACCATAAAATGTACAATGGTTATGAAAAAATATGTATTTTACCGGCTTCAGTTCTGTCACGTCCCATTCCAAGTACTCAGCAACATGCATCATTTGAGAGATGATGTGCTCCAGTTCCTAGAAGTAGAAAACAAATCTTGTGTCAAAACACACTACCGGTCAAAAGTTTTAGAAAACCTACTCATTCAAGGGTTTTTATTTATTTTTACTATTTTCTACATTGTAGAATAATAGTGAAGACATCAAAACGATGAAATAAAAGATATGGAATCATGTAGTAACCAAAAAAGTGTTAAACAAATCAAAATATATTTAATATTTGAGATTCTTCAAATAGCCACCCTTTGCCTTGATGACAGCTTTACACACTCTTGGCATTCTCTCAACCAGCTTCACCTGTAATGCTTTTCCAACAGTCTTGAAGGAGTTCCCACATATGCTGAGCACTTGTTGGCTGCTTTTCCTTCCCTCTGCGGTCCGACTCATCCCAAACCATCTCAATTTCGTTGAGGTCAGGGGATTGTGGAGGCCAGGTCATCTGATGCAGCACTCCATCACTCTCCTTCTTGGTAAAATAGCCCTTACACAGCCTGGAGTTGTGTTGGGTCATTGTCCTGTTGAAAAACAAATGATAGTCCTACTAAGCCCAAACCAGATGGGATGGTGTATCACTGCAGAATGCTGTGGTAGCCATGCTGGTAAAGTGTGCCTTGAATTCTAAATAAATCACAGACAGTGTCACCAGCAAAGCACCCCCACACCATAACACCTCCTCCTCCATGCTTTATGGTGGGAAATATACATGCGGAGATCATCCGTTCACCCACACCGCGTCGCAGAAAGACACAGCGGTTGGAACCAAAAATCTCAAATATGGATTTCCACCGGTCTAATGTCCATTGCTTGTGTTTCTTGGCCCAAGCAAGTCTCCTTTTCTCATTGGTGTCCTTTAGTAGTGGTTTCTTTGCAGCAATTCGACCATGAAGGCCTGATTCACACAGTCCCCTCTGAACAGTTGATGTTGAGATGTGTCTGTTACTTGAACTCCGTGAAGCATTTATTTGGGCTGCAATTTCTGCGGCTGGTAACTCTAATGAACGTATCCTCTGCAGTCTTCCATTCCTGTGGCGGTCCTCATGAGAGCCAGTTTCGTCATAGCGCTTGATGGTTTTTGCGACTGCACTTGAAGAAACGTTCAATGTTCTTCAAATTTTCCGTATTGACTGACCTTCATGTCTTAAAGTATTGATGAACTGTCGTTTCTATTTGCTTTTTTGAGCTGTTCTTGCCATAATATGGACTAGTTTTTTTGCCAAATAGGGCTATCTTCTGTATACCCCCCCTACCTTGTCACAACACAACTGATTGGCTCAAACGCATTAAGAAGGAAATACATTCCACAAATTAAAACTTTTAAGAATGCACACCTGTTAATTGTAATGCATTCCAGGTGACTACCTCATGAAGCTGGTTGAGAGAATGCCCAGAGTGTGCAAAGCTGTCATCAAGGCAAAGGGTGGCTATTTGAAGAATCTCAAATATAAAATATATTTTGATTTGTTTAACACTTTTTCAGTTACTACATGATTCCATATGTGTTATTTCATAGTTTTGATGTCTTCACTATTATTCTACAACGTAGAAAATAGTAAAAATAAAGAAAACCTTGAATGAGTAGGTGTTCTAAAACCTTTGACCGGTGGTGTATATCTATGGTACAATAGCCATTATTCAGTTGATGACAAACATCAATGGTTTTAGACTGATGAACGGCGTGTAATGATCAGTTGGTACAATCTTCCCTCTCCAAAAGAGAGTTGTACAATGCACAACAAAAGCAGCTTGAAAACTGATACAGACTTGATGACTTAATTACAATGGTTGCCCTATTGGAGGGCAATTATCGTCTAGTGGAGAGTCGCCACATGCAGACCAGAATAATGAACATGAGACATTTACTCGCCTGCTCCTCTGCAACAAGCCCAAGCTTTTTAGAGCGCTTGTGCAATGTTACTTTAGATTATATAGTACAAAATATTCTAAATTTCCATATGTCATGGTTAGAATGACTAAGATTCAGATTTCCAGAAGGTCCTCTATTGCAGAATTGTATTTATAGTACATTAGGTACCTATTATGTACCATTGTACACAGCATCATCACGGACAACTTTAGCATTTTAGCTAATCAGCAACCTTGCAACTACTTACTACTTTTTAGCTACTTTGCAAATAGAAGCATGTTAGCTAACCCTTGCCCTAACTCCTAACCCTAACCTTAACCCTTAACCCCTAACCCTAACCCCTAGCCTAGCTAATGATAGCAACCTAGCTAATTGGAATTCGTAACATATCATACGTATTGCAAATTTGTAACATATTGTACGAATTGTAATTCGCAACATATCATATGAAACAAATTAATACATACCATACGAAACGTAACATATCATACTAAATGGAGTGACCTGGATTTCCATTTACTATGTTAAGTCTACCCTTGAGTCCAGGTTGCAGCACCAATAATTCTTCAGTACAGTAAATAACGTGGCGTGTATTGGACAGAACCATACATGGCTCTGGTATAGGCTTTAGCAAATAACAAAGATGATGTTTCATGTAAGGCTGTGTTCATATAATTTGTTTGGCATATTTTTTGAATACGTATGAAGAAGGAAGAATTATTACCGAACTATCCAGAGACCCATTCCCATCAGTATCATAGAGACGAAACATAACTGTAGAGAAAGAGATCAAACATTTATGAGTTTCAATTGTTGTTTGAGATGCAATTAATGTCATTGAGACACATTTTTACTACCAATTTTGTTTCATGAAGGCACTTTACTATGTTGAAGAACAAAAACTTCCTTCAGCTATTGCACTCCCATCAATTCAAAGCAATGTTTCCCCTCATAAAAGTGTTCTTAGCATCTCAGAGTTGAAGTCTTATGGGTTCCTCCACTAGCCTCCAGCCACCACTCAACACCATCACCATGGAAACAGACAGCTCCCTCACCAGAACAGTGATTGGCTATCCAATACAAGAGTGACACACACACACAAACCCCAGTCCTATAGTAATATAATCGTGACAACACTCTCCTCTGCCCCAAGTAATTTACATAATAATGGTTAGTCCCTATGCGTGGATAAAGTGTTTTTAGCCCAGTCTCAGCGTGATGCTACCCCCTCCCCCAATCTCAGTAGTGGTGCGGCTCATGACAAACCCAGCTGGATTGAGGAGGGTGAGCCGGTGAGTTCACTAAGGACTCGAAGAGGGGGGTTGTTGATTTCATATGGGGTTGACGTCAAGCTGCTGTTTGTCAGAACCTAATGAGGAGCTAATTGACAGCTTCCTGCTGTGGTGCGGTCAGGTCGGTCCTTTGGGGCCGGAGGAAGGGGAAGTGAGGTAGATGCCTGGAGGATTGGGAACTCTGCTGGAGCTGGGAAGGTGTTTGTGGTGGTGATCCAACGTTGCCACAGAAAGGTGATGGTGTGTGTAGAGATGGGAGGAATGGCATTCAGTCGAGTTACTCAAAAAAAGCATAGAGCCAAGTTGTCTAACCCTATGAACCTACAGTATAAAGACTATTATTTATCGTTAGACCTCATCACCTCACCTCTTCAAAGCTGACGTAGGACTAGTTGCAACAACAATAACTGAATCCACTGTAGTGACATAGGATATATTTCCTCAATCATACAGAACCAAGGGAATTTAGCTTGCTACTGATGATGATCAATACTCACTTTTTAGATGTTTCTCTTTTTGCCATGCATTCCCTGACTGTGCACAACGTATGTAGACCTACAGATATAGTAGCTAAAATGAATGTACTGTAAGTGTAAATTGAAACCAGTAATTCTTAGAAGAACCAGCAGAGGGCCCTGTTTAGCTCCACAAGACATCAGTGAGGCTAGACGGAAGGAGGGGTAGGGTGGGCAGAGTGGGATTCTCTCTACAAGGAGAGATACTGTAGCATCCAAGGCTAAACCAATGATGTGCTCCCTGGGCCAGACCAGCTAAATTATTAACACACTTTATGCTTAATGAACAGCTCTGCTCTTCAATTATTCAGCAGTTGGATGAGAATTATAAGAACACATAAAAAGTCTGATGTTCAATTATCTAATATAATCTCATGAATAAATAAGTACACATCTAAAGTTTAAGTAGAATAAAGAGATACCATGGCAACGCTAATAAGGTCTTTCAGTAAACATAATGATTCAAGTAGACTACTGTGAAAAGGCTAGCCTGCTACTCCTGCTTAGGTAATGGGAAATATAGACCAGTGTATTGGGATGAAGCTCTATCTCGTTTGGCTATGAGTGTTTGTATCTAGGGTACACAAATGTCATTATTCTCATGGATAAAACACAAAATAACATTGTTGTTCTGGAAAGCCTAATTCTGCATTATAGCCAAAGGAGCTCCAGTATATTCCCCTTTTAGAGGAAACACACAGATATACTGTACAATCATTAGTACTCACACTCCAGTTTGTCCTCGGGTCGGCCACCCTCCAGCAGTGAGAGGTAGCAGACGATGTCCTTCAGTTGAACCATACCTAGAGGTCTGGGCAGAGTCCTGGGTAGAGTGGGCACCTTCAGAGGGGTCGAGTTCCCTTTGATCAGCTTGAGGCCTGCAGAGAGAAGAAGGCCAGGGAAGAAGGTCAAAATGTAGGCCGGTTATGATCATTGCTGAGCTTATGCATCTAATGTCAACCTCAAACTGTCTTTCAAACTGTCTACCAATAAATCAAAAATTAATGTTGTGAAATTGATTACAGATGTTATATAGGTATAGTTTTTGCCAATACAATGGTAAATGTTGACTAGACAGCACCGTTTTAGTTTATGATGATTGTACTTAGTACCTCAGGACACGTACAGTTTGGACATTTTGTGAAAAAGTACAAGCTGATGCTACATACACTGCACTCAATGACTTGCCTGCAAGCTACAGTCCACAACAACAAGGCAATCTGGGGTGGTCTGATGACAGAGTTAACAATACTGAACCAATTACAACAGCATCACCCAGTGAACATGCTCTTTGTGGTAAGAGTAAAAACTAAAGCATACCTAAACAGCTCTAGGCTTTTATTTGATGTTAGAGAAATTGTTTGTCTGCTGCTGAGGTCATAGAATTTCTATGCCTTCTTGATCTGTTCATTTGGGTTTGTCTGAAGTGAAGGTACAATGGTCCTAAGGGCAAAGTAGCTTTAAAAAATTAAGCAACAGCGCACACAGACAATCTAAAGGCTACTTTGCTCCTTAGGGACACCATATGAAGGTTATAGCTAAAGTGCAGGGTCTTACCAGTAACTCTGGGCTTGTCTATGGAAGAGGGGCTGGGTTTTGGTCCCTTGTTACTGAATGATAAGAAGAGGTGTTGACAGAACTCCTCTGCCAGCTCGCTCTCCAGAAACGTCTGCATGAAGACCTTGAAGCCTTCAAAGTCAATCTCCTGAAACAAGACACAGAACATGATCCTGGTGTGTATAATTCTTATGAGGGAAGCTTTGATTACCATATCATGTCTGGGAGAACATGAAATTACATTACCTGATTGAGTATGTCCTGCTTCTATGCAGCATTGAATAAAGACATTGGGCATCTCAATACATCAAACCTCCAAAAAGTACATAAGTCATATCCTGTAAAGCATACAAATAACCATGGTGTGACTTTCAAATGACAAAACCAAACAAAGATATATTGGTCTGAGGTGACTATAGACCAATACCATCGTTGAATGTTGTTGATATCAAAATAACCAAGAATTGGTAGCAAGTCTGAAGTGATGGTAGTGTTCTACATTATGAAGAAGCCTCAAAGTAGTTCTACAACGGTTCATGCAATACTAATGATGCCACATCACTACCAGAACAGTCAGAACAGTGTCTTATGGAAAGAAAGACTACCTCCTCTGGGTTATATTTTGCCAACACTCCATCTCCATGGAACTCCTGCAGCACATCTTTCAGCTTCTTGGTTGAGTCTAAAAGAAAAACATTCAGCACATGTTATAACCATAAAGGCTTCCAATTAAATAGCAATTGATATCATCATGTCTGTGGAGGGCGATCCCACTGCGGGATCTCATCCAATTATCTCTAAACTTGGAGTTAGAGTGCAAAAGGTCCAGTCTACAGTTCAGGAGGATTTATATCTGACACCCATCTAAATCACAGGAGGAATCACCAGACTCTGGAACGGGTAGCAGGTTAGACTCCTCTGCCTGGTCCGTTTGGTCTGGTTCCTGTCAACGTCTCAAACTATGGGAGTTTAGCCCAGGAGTGTCCTGGCAGGACTGGTCCATTGGGCTCCTTGTGTACACATTGTTTTATTATATTATTCCAGCTGTTCCATTATGATATTTGTAGCTTCTGGAGCAACAAGACTAGATTTGGAAGGATGACCACGCGAGACCATGATACGTGTGACTGAGTGCCAGTGTGATAAACCCACCAAAAATACGTTAAAAAGTATTAACTCATGCACCGTTTTCTTATCACTCCTCTACACGGTCAAAAAAACGGTAATGTTATCCTAATACTAACACTTCAAAGGAAATGACTTAGCGTAGGTTACTTTAGGCCAAAATGCATGTCACATCAGTGTTCTTTTACACAGCACCTGGGAAAATACAAACCGCAATGTCTCTGTGCAAAAAAATCAATTCTAATAATCGTCTCTGATTATGAAATCATAACTGCAGTGAAGTAGACTGTAGAGTACTGGTGCTCATGCAGTATGCGAAGTGAGGAAAGTGTGCAATAGAGCTCACTTCACTTTTTAATGAGAAGAGGGTGGTGGTGGGGGGGTAAAGTGTGCTGGGGGGACTGAAAAGGAGGGAGAGGTGGAAACAGCGGAAGGTTCTTTGTTGCAGTTCAGAGAATGGGATATTTTATAACCTGTCGCTGCACAGGGAGCACAATGACTAGCTCTGAGCCCATCGAAACACAATTATCCAAATCTTTCTATTACACACTCACCCTCACTCTTTATTTCCATCTCATTTCCCTTCGGTCCCACACCCTGTCTCTTCTCAGACCTTCAGACATTGCTAATAAAAGCCTCTCTCAATTCAACCCAATATGCAATTCAATTCCACAATGCTTTATTAACACAACTATACATAACAGTAAACACTGCCGAAGATGAAAAATCGATCCCAATCAGAGACAGTAAAGAGAGGCGGGAGAGCTGCTTACAGTCGGCGAAACAATGTTGTCACAATGCGTAGAGCAATTAACGAGAGAGATGTCAAAGTGAAACGCTTTGCCTGCAGAAGAGATCCCAAGCAAAAAGCATTAATTATTTAGATTTGGACTGAAGTCTGTTAATATCTAATAAAATAACCTTCAGTTAAGATGCTATATACACTACTGTTCAAAAGTTTGGGGTCATTTAGAAATGTCCTTGTTTTCCATGAAAACATACATGAAATGAGTTTGAATAGGAAATATAGCAAAATGCATAGGAAATGTAGTCATTGACAAGGTTAGAAATAATGATTTGTAATAGAAATAATAATTGTGTCCTTCAAACTTTGCTTTCGTCAAAGAATCCTCCATTTGCAGCAAGTACAGCCTTGCAGACCTTTGGCATTCTAGTTGTCAATTTGTTGAGGTAATCTGAAGAGATTTCACCCCATGCTTCCTGAAGCACCTCCCACAGGTTGGATTGGCTTGATGGGCACTTCTTACGGTCAAGCTGCTCCCACAACAGCTCAATAGGGTTGAGATCCGGTGACTGTACTGGCCACTCCATTATAGACAGAATACCAGCTGACTGCTTCTTCCCTAAATAGTTCTTGCATAGTTTGGAGCTGTGCTTTGGGTCATTGTCCTGTTGTAGGAGGAAATTGGCTCCAATCAAGCGCCGTCCACAGGGTATGGTATGGTGTTAAAAATGGAGTGATAGCCTTCCTTCTTCAAGATCCCTTTTACCCTGTACAAATCTCCCACTTTACCACCACCAAAGCAGACCATCACATTGCCTCCATCATGCTTGACAGATGGCATCAAGCACTCCTCCAGCATCTTTTCATTTGGTCTGCGTCTCACAAATATTCTTCTTTGTGATCCGAAGACCTCAAACTTCGATTCGTCTGTCCATAACACTTTTTTCCAATCTTCCTCTGTCCAGTGTCTGTGTTCTTTTGCCCATCATAATCTTTTATTTTTATTGGCCAGTCTGAGATATGGCTTTTTCTTTGCAACTCTGCCTAGAAGGTCAGCATCCCGGAGTCGCCTCTTCACTGTTGACGTTGAGACTGGTGTTTTGTTGTACTATTTAATGAAGCTGCCAGTTGAGGACCTGTGAGGCGTCTGTTTCTCAAACTAGACACTCTAATGTATTTGTCCTCTTGCTCAGTTGTGCACCGGGACCTCCCACTCCTCTTTCTATTCTGATGAAGGGAGTAGTACACAGCGTTGTATGAGATCTTCCGTTTCTTGGCAATTTCTCGCATGGAATAGCCTTCAATTCTCAGAACAAGAATAGACTGACGAGTTTCAGAAGAAAGTTATTTGTTTCTGGCCATTTATATTATGTAATTGAACCCACAATTGCTGATGCTCCAGATACTCAACTAGTCTCAAGAAGGCCAGTTTTATTGCTTCTTTAATCAGCACAACAGTTTCCAGCTGTGCTAACATAATTGCAAAAGGGTTTTCTAATGGCCTTTTAAAATGATAAACTTTGATTAGCAAACACAACGTGCCATTGGAACACAGGACTGATGGTTGCTGATAATGGGCCTCTGTACGCCTATGTAGATATTCCATTACAAATCAGCCGTTTCCAGCTACAATAGCCATTTACAACATTAACAATGTCTACACTGTATTTCTGATCAATTTTATGTTATTTTAATGGTCAAAAAATTTGCTTTTCTTTTGAAAACAAGGACATTTCTAAGTGACCCCAAATTAGCTCTGTTGTTTTATTCTCCTCTACTATACTGGGATGAAGTTCTTCTTGTTGTGGTTATGTTGGAAGTCTTTTGAGATTCCTTCCTTTCCGAAAATGATTTAAAAACCAAAATAGAATAAATACTGAAAATAATAATGCTGTTAAACCTAATTGTTACCCTGGAAACAACCAATTCAAGAAAGGCTTTAGTGTATTTCACTATTCCCACTAGTGCTGAATTCAAAGGCAAAACTTGCACAGTCAAATATTTTATTTACGAAAACCTGATTACTTGCAGTAGCGTTCTTGAAAATAACTTCAAGATGTCCATAACTCTCTATGGCCCACAGGGGAAGCTGTTGTGTTATGATTAATACTTTTTTAACATAAACAGCACCAGGGCACCAGACAGATGTCATGCTTGAGCTGGTATGCTGCAAAATCAGCAAGGGGCTCCAATAACAGATTACAGACATACGGATGATTCCAAGTCATCAGAGAAAGAGGGGGTTTTGTACTGTTTGAGCTTTACACCAAATCAAGTTTGATTAGGCTGTGTTTCATAACGCAGTGGCAGTGCATGGAGATATTCTCTGCTTTGCTCTGATGCAGTCACCATTACAGTAACTGGGCTCTGTTGTCCTGCCATAGCCAAGCAGTAGGAAAATCTCTCTCTGTATGAGGTGGATTAGGACAAACTGCTGAGATGGGCTCTACAGTAGTTTACTAATACAGTGTCACGTTTTATACCTGACTAGATTCAATTTTCAATGAAGTTTAGACTTGATTGTGAGCGTAAAGTGACGGTGTACGTGCACGCACACACACACCACACACACCACTCACACACACTGTCACAGACACAGACTTACATTGAGCATACTCCTGCAGAAGGGAGAATTCAGCTGGGGTCAGAGTGACCCACTTGTCCTGGTTGGTCATTGTGATGAGTCCTCTTCTCCCTCACATCCCCAAACTATCAGCCCACAGTCCACTCTGTGGAACAGAACATATAAAACATGTTAAATTATTAGGCCTCTTTCATTATAGTCTCTTGTGGCAGACTGTTAACAGAAAGAGATTTGGTTTGGCTTCCAACATTCATTCCATCATCACTGGTCATAAAATTGCACAACATGATTGTATATTGATCCTCACATCATTACATTGCTGTAGTATAGTATAGTATAGCATAGTTTAGCAGAAACCAAGAAATGCTGTATGTCCATCTGCAACCAAAAAGTATATCAGTCTGTCAGTCAATTAGACAATGAGGCTGGGGACTTGTTTGATTCATAATACTTACTGAACCACCTAATGAATGCATTTTTCATGCTATCATAAGTATTTCATCAGACAAGTATATTACTCTTAGTATGACTGACAGCCAAGCTAATGCTATCGTGTCCTATCCAGCACTATGTACTATAGCTAGCTAACAATTTGCTAACTGGCATGTCAATATCCAACATGAATTTACCAACTCACTGCATTATTTGACGTCTGTCCTACTTACAGATGTAGGATCTTAATTTGATTTCCTGCAATGCAGGACATTTAAAACATGTAGTGTATTTGAAGTTTAAAAAAGGCTTCTGAAGTTTGTAATTTCCACGTTGACTTTATTTTCCCTTACGGCAAATGTATCAACCCCTACAAAAATATCCATTAATTATAATCCACATCATAATTCACATTTCCTGTTGCTGCAGTATTATTTCCCTGCTTTAGCAAACTGGCTCAAATGAAGATTCTACAGCTGTCCCTATGACAACATTTAGCTTATGCGTAAAGAAGAATTTATGACAGACAGTATAAGGGACATATAAGATTTTGAGTCATGATTGTTCAGGACTGCTGCATGTCCTGTTTACAACAACAGAATGATGGGCCGGCTGCCAGGGGACAGCCAGCTGGCATCACTGATTATGGGCAATGCCATGGTGACAGAAGATTGGACAGTGTCAGAAAAGAGGGGATGTGATGCCACTTTTCCCTTGTAGTAGACCCCCTCCCACACACACACACACACACACACACACGCACACGCACACGCACACGCACACGCACACGCACACGCACACGCACACGCACACGCACACGCACACACACACACACACACACACACACTCACACACACCACACTCAATGGGTTAGCACAATACAAGATATGTTTAATGTAAACTTAATCTGTACTACATTGTAACTAATGTAACTACTGGGAAGGGTTCAAAAACCATTACACATTTATGTAAGGAGAAATAAATAATGTGTGAGTGTTTTGGGGTTGTCGGTTGCTACAGTATATAGCCTAGAGTATTGTGTTCTGTGGACTACTGAAGCTGAATGTTCCACTCCCCCCTCCTCTCTTAACGCACCTGTGTTTGTCTCAGAGTCTGCTTCCTTCCTTTCTGACCCAAATCCTTCTGACCAATTACAAAACCTCACAGCAACAAGTGCATGCAACAGTACTTTACCACCTCAGTTCACAACTATTTCCTAATGAAAGAGCTGGCATGGAATCATCTGTGTGTGTGTGTGTGTGTACTAGCAAGCGTGCATGCGTGTGTGTGTGCATGTGTGTGTCTGCGCATATATGTGTATCTGTGTATGGGCGTAGTTTGTACGTGGATGTCCTGAACATACCCATAATAAACACACATTTCTAACCTTAAGGAACCCCTGTGACACTTGAATTGGCACATACAGTGCATTCGGAAAGTATTCAGACCCCTTCCCTTTTTCCACATTTTGTTACGTTACAGCCTTATTCTAAAATTGATTAAATGACATTTTTTCCTCAGCAATCTACACACAATACCCCATAATAACAAAGCGAAAACAGGTTTTTAGAAATTGTTGCACAGACCCTTTGCTATCAGGTGCATCCTGTTTCCATTGATCATCCTTGAGATGTTTCCTTGATTGGAGTCCACTTGTGGTAAATTGAATTGATTGAACATGATTTGGAAAGGCACACACCTATCTATATAAGGTCACACAGTTGCATGTCAGAGCAAAAAGCAAGCCATGAGGTCGAAGGAATTGTCGAGACAGGATTGTGTCGAGGCACAGATCTGGGGAAGGGTACCAAAAAATGTCTGCAGCATTGAAGGTCCCAAAGAACACAGTGGCCTCCATCATTCTTAAATGGAAGTAGTTTGGAACAATCAAGACTCTTCCTAGAGCTGTCCGCCCGGCCAAACTGAGCAATCGGGGAAGAAGGGCCTTGGTCAGGGAGGTGACCAAGAACCTGATGGTCACTCTGACAGAGCACCAGAGTTCCTCTGTGGAGATGGGAGAACCTTCCAGAAGGACAACCATCTCTGCAGCACTCCACCAATCAGGCCTTTATGGTAGAGTGGCCAGACAGAAGACACTCCTCAGTAAAAGGCACATGACAGCCCTCTTGGAGTATGCCAAAAGGCACCTAAAGGACTCTCAGACCATGAGAAACAAGATTCTCTAGTCTGATGAAACCAAGATTGAACTCTTGGCCTGAACGCTAAGGATCACGTCTGGAGGAAACCTGGCACCATCCCTATGGTGAAGCGTGGTGGTGGCAGCATCATGCTGTGGGGATGTTTTTCAGAGGAAGGGACTGGTAGACTAGTCAGCATCGAGGGATAGATGAACAGAGTAAAGTACAGAGAGATCCTTGATGATAACCTGCTCCAGAGCGCTCAGGACCTCAGACTGGGGCAAAGTTTCACCTTCCAACAGGACAACAACCCTAAGCACACTGCCAAGACAACGCAGGAGTGGCTTCGGGACAAGTCTCTGAATGTCCTTGAGTGGCCCAGCCAGAGCCCGGACTTGAACCCAATCGAACATCTCTGGAGAGACCTGAAAATAGCTGTGCAGCGACGCTCCCCATCTAACCTGACAGAGCTTGAGAGGATCTGCAGAGATTAATGGGAGAAACTCCGCAAATACAGGTGTGCCAAGCTTGTAGCGTCATACCCAAGAAGAGTCAAGGCTTTAATCGCTGCCAAAGGTGCTTCAACAAATACTAAGTAAAGGGTCTGAATACTTATGTAAAAGTGATATTTCAGTACTTTTTTTTATTCAAAATTTGCAAAAATGTATAAAAACCTTTTTTTGCTTTGTCATTATGGTGAGATTGATGAGGGGAAAAAACAATCCATTTTAGAATAAGGCTGTAACGTAACAAAATGTGGAAGTCAAGGGGTCTGAATACTTTCTGAATGCATTATTGATGCAACTGTACAGTATAGACAGATGACTAAAGAAGAATATACTGTACATCTCTGAAATACATTCAGTATCTGTGGCTAAATAGACCATAATGTGGTGGCGTGTATGCATTATGATGCTATTTAGACTGTGCAAAATCACAGAAGTCAATCAAATTGCTCTAGGCATTGGTACTCCCTCCCATAAACTTTGATCTATTACTTGTGTGACAAATACATACCACTACTCTGCAATCCCTCTCTGGGACTCATACTTATTGCTATCATAAATACTAGTTGTTATATTTGTCTTGTAATACACATTTACAATCCATTCCTAATGAGTGTTAGATATAAAGGAAAGCAAAATGCTCAAAATGATTCTCATTCTCTATTGTTTATAACCCGCATACATTAGAGGAGGCTGGTGAGATGTGTTATAGGAGGACAGGCTCATTGTAATGGCTGGAATGGAATCAATGGAACGGTATTAAACACATAAAACATTTGGAAACCACGTTTGACTCCATTCCATTTAATTCATTCCATTCCATTACAATCAGCCCGTCCTCCTATAGCTCCTCCCACCAGCCTCCACTGGTATACATACAGTATAATGTACATATCCTCCGCATAATGCAACAACAGTAGCACAACAGTATTTCAACCCTTTAGCAAATTTCTCAATGCTGCGAGTCTAATTCCACGAGCAGTGTAGTGTATCTGTAGTAGCAGCATTGTGACACTGATAGGCTTGATTCATTTCCAGTGGAGCAACAGCAGGTTATCAAACACTTTAGCTCTCCTCCTCTCTCTCAATCTTTGTATCTATCAATGAATTCATCGGCAATATCTCACCCGGTAGAGGACTCTACTGCAAGAGACACCAGCGATGCAACTAGAGAGTAGCTGACACTACACATATATATAATATACCCACTACATTACACACACATTACATACACACTTGCATACAGTCAATGAACAAGCTCTATTTGTACCACAACAAACAATAGAATGCAGTATCAACATGATCCTCACCTGCTGGATAGCCAAGGCAAACTGCCAGGAGCAGGGAGTAGTCTTCCAGTCAGATGTTTATAGATGACGCTTACACACTCTCACACACACGCATCTTGCTCTCTCTCACACGCTCACATTCAAATACATACACACTCACTCACATCATGTCCCCGCTGAATGTACTGGAGGAGAGCGTAGAGGGTTTGTCATCAGATGGTGTGTGTGTTTGTGAGTGAGTGTGTATGTGTGGCTGTGTGTGTATGTGAGTGTTAGACCCCCCCCCTATCTGCTGTGTGTGTGTAAGAGTATGCGTGTGTGTGTGTGTAAGTGTGTGTTTGTTCAGAAGCAGTCAGTGATCGAGGATAGAAACTCCAATAGAAAAGGGGGAGTGTGTGTGTGTGCGAGAGGGAGATAGAGAGTGATAGAAAGCACAGAACGATCCTCCGCTTGTCCGCAATGGTAATCAGTTCCCGTACTCACTGCTTACGTCACTCTTCTCCCTCCTCTCTTCCTCTTTCTGCTCCCCCTCTATTCCCTCGTGAGGCTGATGTCCTGAGCTCCCGCTCTCTCTCTCCCTCTCTCTCTCCCTCTCTCTATCCCTCCCTCTCTCTCTCCCTCACTCGCTCTCCCTCTCTCTCCCTCTCTCTCTCCCTCTCTCTCCCTTTCTCTCTCCCTCTCTCGCCCGCTCTCTCTCTCTCTTCCTCACTCTTTCTCCCACTCTCTCTCTCTCCCGCGCTCTCTCTCCCTCGCTCTCTCTCTCTCTTCCGCTTTCTCGCTCCTGGTG